AAATCTAACAAATTTAGTACAAACGCCAGTATGATGCCGCTCAGATGCAGTTATACTATTTGTGTAAAAAAGTTGGATGTAAATGTAAATGGACATTACTTTACAGGACAGTATCTTCTTTGTTTTTGTAGCTGAAGCAGCCAAACACAGATTGGACCCTCACTAAGAATCAGAATTCTTCGATCAAAAGGTAACATTCTTGACGAATAAACTTCATCTGGTTATGTGTCTGGCCAAGTGAGATATCAGTAAATGAGCAGTGACATGATTTCCATCTTCTCTCCAGTTATAATTCCATCAACATGGATGGAACACTGATGCGTAAGGCCATGCATGCGGACCCGGAAAACTTCGTCACCTCCATGACACCTGGACAGTACTGGACGTGGGGCACTCATATGAGAGGCACTAAGGGTATGACAAGCCAAACTGAATGTGAGGATAAAAACTCATATTGGAAAACCTTCACAATATTAGGTACCCCTAACAGCATCTAAACTGAGAGCTGGATGTAATAATTTGCCATGCACTCTTATATTACTAACTAAGGGAAGTTGAATGAATTGATGGAGCTGAATCAAGCATTATTATCGATGTAACTCGTTGGTACAATCTTGCATTGTGTCTGATTATACTGTGTGTGTGTGTGTGTGTGTGTGTGTGTGTGTGTGTGTGTGTGTGTGTGTGTGTGTGAGAGAGAGAGAGAGAGAGAGAGAGAGAGAGAGAGAGAGAGAGAAACTACATATCTTTTAGTGCATCCTCCATGATGCAAATTAACACCAAATGGAAGAATTGCTCTGTAATTCCTTCCTGCATATCTTCTACTGCAGACTATAAAATGTCTACATCGCCAAGTGGCGTTACCTCCCGGCCCTGGACTCCTCGCTGCACTCCTCCACCCCAGCAGCAGCAACCTTCTAACCCCCCACATCCTCACCCACACCCGCACCCGCCACCAGACTACCATCACAACGTGTACATTCCCGGAACGCCATCAGGCTTCTGCACCCTGAGGCCTGTGGCACAGCGCAGCGACTTGGACGCCCATAACTCCTTCTCCACCTTTGGCAAGAAGCGACGCCTCCAGATGTCCCCTCAGGGGGAGGCTGCCATGATCAATAACGACTTGTACAATGACTGACATCCCACTGACTGACTGAGTGGACGATTTGAGTGATGGATCACCTGAGATGAGATGAGGATCATTTGTTACATAAATTAATGAACAGTCGGCTTGTGAGTGGCTTAATATGTGAGCTGAATGAGAGGTCAGGACAAGGAGAAAGAATGACCGCTGGTGGGAAGCAGATGTTTGTGGTTATTTATGTGACAAAATGTCTTCAATGTGTTTTTTATTACAGTTATTATTATTGCTATTCATTTTTAGACAATCAAACAGGAGGTGCGGCTGTGACTTCTAAAATATATGATAAGCATCAGTAGGTAATTCTTTTTCACATCTTTATGTATGAAATCAGATTGTTGAGTTGTAAGAATATAGAAAATGTTTTTTTTGTACGCTCTTCTGCTAACATGTGACAAACATCATGCTGTACGGTACACGCAGGTCACAACAGGAGCCACAAAAAGATGGGGAATACTCCTCACACATGTACTGTAAATACATTAATGGAAATAAAGTATTTTTTGCATTACATTTCTTTCTCAAATGTATAAACAATGAAGAAGGCGCATGGTCTTCACCCAGACTTCAGTTGGCAAATCAGTATGCGATATGCACACAGATGCAAGTTTTGTTCATCGAGGTTTAATTTACTTGAGTCAATTATTTTCAGGGTGAAAAGGGTACAGCTACAATCTTTTCGCTTTGGTAAGCCATTTCCCACCTAGATGAATAAACACAGTAAAATGCTAACATATGCTAATTGAGGCGCTTGCATTTCCATTTGCCCGCAGAGGACGATGGGGGCTCATTGACTGAACAAACAAAAACTCCTCTCTCGAAAATATCACTTTAATTAAGAACACGACCACACAAACGTACGAGTGTCGGGGGAGTGGGTCGACTCCTCCAAATGCCACACCTGCATGGGAGCTCAGGGGCCCAGAACTTCTTTCTCTTCTTTCTCCGTGCCCTTTTACTTGTTAATTCTCTGGGAAATTGTTCAGGAGATTACAGATGGCTACTGGCCAGGAACAAAGAAGGTTTAATTAGGTCGTCGTTTGGCTCAGACTGAGAATAATCTCGTTAATAACGAAAAGGTGATCCATAGAGAACCGTAGAAGGGCAGGACAGCTTCTCTGGGGTAAGGTGATTCAGAAGGGGAATCCTTTATAGGTCAAATAGGATGAATTGAAATTAAATAAATGGGGCTCTAATAGAGTTTCTGTTGCAGGAACAACTTTTACTTTGCAATTTTTCATTCTACTCGTGGAGTAAAAATAGCCACATCTTCTCTTTAATGGCGTATATACGCGAGTCGTGAATAATCAAACAAATACATAGATACAATGTGATCTAAATTTCAAAAATCTATTTTTGTCATCATCCCGTCGGTCAAGGAAGCCGTTCGTTGCCGTGGTGCTCAACTTTTGACCAGTGGTCGTTTTCTTCTTGTCACACGCTGTGCCTCCACTCATCCACCAGAGGGCGAATGTGATCCACGTTCAAGATTGGGCGAGTGAGGGGAATTGACGAGCGTCTCCGTCTGTCACACACACGCATCGAGAGAAAAAGGAAACAATATCAGCTGTAAAACTTGCTTGTAAAGGAAAGAAATAGAATCTACCTAAGCAGTACATTTAATTGACAGTGTTCTCTAGTGTCACCCAACTCACTATCGATTCAGTCTGGTACAATATATGTGAGATATGAAACTACAATATTGAGGAATACAGACAGTTTTACAGTACAACGTTGCAAGTACAACATTGCATTCCTCGCATTTTCACGTTGATAAATGGCATAAATGCATATGATATGTACACAAAAACACGTGAAACAACATAAAAAGGTGCAATACGTACAGCAGATGGCGCCAGTGAGTAAGATTGTTGAATTACTGTCCAACAGTCTCACCCTTCTCAGAGAAATGGCGATAGTGATTAGTTGCACTTATCTCAGTTAATATAAATGGTGAGTGTAAGACAAAGGTCACTGGGGGAATATTTATACATGTGTATGTACTGTATTATTTTTCCATTGACACAGTTCTGAAAAATGCCACATATTTTATCTATAGTATAAGTTTAACATCAAATCAATTCATAGTTCCTTCAATCATGATTTTGTTATACACAATCAAAATTTGTAATACACATTAATATACCCACTAAAATGAGGAAAACCTTAGTGACATAATTTAGACTAAAAGGGGGTGAGCTATAACAAAATCACTTGTGAATGAACAGCAAACAGTGAGCATTGTTGTCTGTAATCCATCCATCCCTCCATTTTTTGATCTGCTTAATCCTCACAAGGGTCGCGGGTGGTGCTGGAGCCTATCCCAGCCGTCTTCGGGCCATCTACATTGTGAGGTCGACGCGCTCAGCACTGGACCACCAGGCCGCTTGTCTGTAATATGTTTTAAATTTGACTGATTTCACAGTATTGAAACAAATTGAAGCAAAAATTTAAAAAGCCAATGACAAAACTGCTTGGAAAAAAATGAATACGAAAGAAGCTTCTATCTTAAAATGAAAAGAAAGGCCAAGGAGGAACATGGACATTTGTGTGGAATGGATATAAAAAGGTCGACACACCTCAGTTCAAATTCCAGGTTTTTCTGATGTTAAAAACCAAATAAGAAGGAAAAATCTTCTTACTTACTGCACACCAAAACTTTCTCAAACATTAATCTGATCTATAACCCGAACACTGCAATTAAAATATTGTTGTAATATTCTGGAGCTAGAAATTAAAAATAAAGGCAGCACTGGTTAGTACTGGTTAGTACGTCCGTTTCACAGTGCAGAGGTGCATGGTTCAATTCCAGCCCTGGCCTTCTTGTGCCCTGAGATTAGCTGGCAACCGGTTCAGGATGTCCCCGGCCTACTGCCCAAAGACAGCTGGGATAGGCTGCACAATGCCCCGCAACCCTTGTGAGGATAAAGTGGATCAGAAAATGTATATCTATATCTATATATAACAAAAACATAACAACCATAGTGGTTATTTTTCTTTTAAAAAATCGAATTTGCTAATGCTATGGAAATCACCCAAATTTAGCCGCTATCTGTTCATAAACAACTTCACCTTTGCATATATATCAAAGAGTCTGTGATTTTATTTATTTGTTTTTTTTTTTTTTAACTTGAAAAATACGTTTCCCTGACAAGGTGAAATTTAAGAGTATGATCTTTAGGTTCAAATCCCCAAATTTACAGACAAAAATAAATAAAATGTAGACGTTTACACTCACCTCACTTTGCTGTGTTACGTTCTCTCCAAAAGAGGCTACACTCAAAAAAAGTCTCTATGTGATAAATAAAAAACATTGCTTTGCTTCCATTAATATATATTTATATTTAGTAATACTTTAATTAAATCCAAACCTTTTTGAAATACCATTTCATTTTATTCTGATTTAAATTGCAAATATGTCTCTTGGGACATCATTTCAAGGAGTATCTGGGCGCTCCTCCAAGACAAATTAATTACTAATGGGGGGAAAAAATTACAGGCGTTACTTTGCATTCATATTAGAGGGATCATTGCAATCTATGAAAATATGTCTACAATTTAATTTAGTAAGTCTTTTCATGGGCACAGATAAAGCACCATGAATAATTAATGACCCCTTTTACATAAATGTTGTTTTGAAACTCAGAAGCGAAATTGGATTTTGTCAAATGGAGAAACAAATGTGTTTAATTTTGGCAGTAAAAAGATTTATGGTTGTGAATATGAGTGGGAATGTTCACCTGCCCAGTCGTTTGAAAGGCTACAGTGTGCCGTTTTGGCCCCATGATGTCGCTATTACCCTTTCCTGTCGATATGTCGAGCCACATTTAAATCACGACACGCCCGTTGTCAAGGGTGGAGACATGTCTTTCTTTCGTATCACCGATGTTTGAATTTGAAACTCTTGGGCTGCTCTGAGACATGCCTTGAGTATTTATTTATTTTTTTTTTGCAATATATATTTTTAAGGAAATCAACCACGATTTGCTTCTTCCCAAAAACTCCAGTCATGTATCATGTTGGACAAAGGATGGATTTTTGGGCGGCGGTCTTTGTGTTGTTTGCAGCATGGCCGGCTGCTTTGTCCGTGACACGTTACTCCATCCCCGAGGAGATGGAGAGGGGCTCTGTGGTGGCCAACCTTGCTGCTGATCTAGGACTGGAGCCTGGAGGCTTGGCACAGAGAGAGGTAAAACTTGATATTTTTCACAACAAAAAATATCTGGATGTCAATAAGAAGACGGGGGAACTGCTCATCGTGGAGACAATGGACAGAGAATATCTTTGCCCCTCCAAACCAGTCTCTTGTCTTCTTAAGCTCGATGTAATAATAGAAAGCCCATTGCGAATATTTAATATTGAGCTTGGAATAACCGATATCAATGACAACGCGCCACATTTTAGACGAGACAGAGTAGAACTGGATGTGTCTGAGTCTGCAACACCGGGGGAGAGATTCTCCCTCCCCAATGCGGTGGATCCAGATGTGGGGATTAATACGGTGAAAACATACAAGCTCAGCACCAGTCAACATTTTACTATTGAAATTCAGACGGGTACTGATGGAACACAATATGTAGATTTAGTTTTGACCAGATCTTTGGACCGGGAGGAGAATGCTGTCCATAATTTAATATTAACAGCGGTAGACGGTGGTAATCCAGTGCGCTCCGGCACTGCTAACATTATTGTGAAAGTGCAGGATACCAACGACAACCCACCTCGTTTTGACAAACAGATTTATACAGTAAACATGACAGAGAATTCCCCAATCGGAACTACAGTGATAAAGCTGAACGCTATTGATCTCGACGAGGGGCCAAATTCAGAGCTTGTGTACTCATTCACACTTTACACATCAGAGAAAACCCAAGACGTGTTTGCGATGAACCCCAGTACGGGGGAAATAACTGTAAAGGGGACCATTGACTATGAAGACATGAAATTTTATGAGATGCACATTGAGGCGAGGGACAAAGGCACGTACCCACTCCTTGGCCAGTGTAAAGTGGTCGTCCATGTCACGGATATGAATGACAATTACCCAGAAATCACCCTGCAGGCCGTTAAAAACACGGTAAACGAGGACGTGCCTGTTGGAACTGTCATTGCCCTGGTGGCCATGAGTGACAGAGACACGGGTGAGAATGGCAAAGTTAATTTATTCATTAATGACTCAATCCCATTTGTTTTAAACAAGTCATCAGACAGACCAATGCATTACAAACTGCTTGTGTCCAAACCTTTGGATCGTGAATCAGTGCCTGATTATGAAATCACACTAATCGCGAGAGATTCAGGAAGACCACCATTATCTGATAATGAAACAATTACCGTGCATCTGCTGGATGTAAATGATAATGCGCCACACTTCCCTCAGTCCTTTTATACCATACGTGTGATGGAGAATAACGCCCCGGGCGCCTTGCTCAGCTCCCTCAGTGCGTTTGACCCCGACCTCCATGAGAACCAGTACCTCGTGTACTTCATCCTGGAGAAGGAGATAGCCAACACCTCCATGTCCATGCTCTTCTCCATCAATCCAGAGAACGGCAACCTTTACGCACTCAAGACTTTTGACTATGAGATGGAGAAGGACTTCCTCTTCCACATCGAGGCCAGAGACTCTGGCTCTTCTCCGCTCAGCAGCAACGTGACTGTCCACATCATCATCGTGGATCAGAATGACAACGCCCCGGTTATCGTCTCTCCTTGGCGAGCGCACGGCTCCGTGGTGGAGGAGAAGATCCCCAGATCCACAGATAAAGGCTCCCTGGTGGCCAAAGTGATAGCCTTGGACGTGGATTCCGTGCACAACTCTCGCGTCACCTACCAGTTCCTGCAGGTGACCGACGCCTCCTTGTTCAGTCTGGACCAGTACAACGGAGAGATCCGAACCATGAGGATGTTCAGCTTCAAAGATTCTCGTCACCAGAGACTGATTGTTGTTGCCAAGGACAACGGGGATCCCGCTCTCTCCGCTACAGTCACCATCAAGCTGTCCACGGTGGAAACGTCCGTGAAGGCCTACTCGGACATGACCGAGGTGCCTCTGGAATACGACATCTTCTCGGACCTCAACCTGTATTTGGTCATCGGTCTGGGCTCGGTGTCCTTCCTGCTGCTCATCACCATCCTGGTCACCATCGTGCTCAAGTGTCAGAAGGTCAAGCCTAGCAAAGCGGCTCCTCCCTGCAGGAACAGCGTGATCAGCGAGAGGAACTCCACCATCGCAGATTCCACTCTGGTGTCCAACGATGCCTACTGGTACAGTCTGTTCCTAGCAGAGACCAGGAAAGGAAAGCTGGTGGTTAGGCAGCCCATGCCGAAGGGCTCCAGATACATTGTGTCCAGTATTCCCAGGAGCACAGGCATGTCTGAGACCAGCGACTCTGCTCCTTCCACTCTGCAGGTAGGTTAATTTTCATCTTCTCAAGTATTGTTTAAACTTATCAACAATCTTAATGGGTAGACAAACACGTTTTTTTTTCAATCCAGAAACAGAATTTCTACTTCATGCGAATGAAGAAATATGACACAAACACTCAAACCAGCAGCAACAACAACATTAGTACTCTTTCTATTCCTTCTTCTACTCCTGGTGGCTATGACTACGAGTAGTGGTAGATGCTCAATGCGTAGCGTAAGTTTTTCCTGACTTCCGTACAGGCACGGGGTCATTTCTCACTCAGTGATGGTGTGAATGTGAGTGCAAATGGTTGTCTGTCTCGATATCCTGTATGTGGACTGGTCACTAATCCACAGTGTAATCTGCCTTTCACCGTATGTAATAGGCTCCAGCTCCCCTCTAACCCTGACAAGTGGTACAGAAAAAGAGTGAATATTATTATTAATAATAATAATGATTGCAATATAATACGACTACTACTACTACTACTACTACTACTACTACTAATAATAATAATAATAATGATAATCATAAGCATGATTAGTATAGTAGTATTATTATTAGGATTAGTGTTATCATTATATAAAATATTCACCATCTCCAAAATGCAAGTGTGATGCAATTGGTGAGACCATAAATCACAGCAAATAAAATGTATTTTAAGAGCAAGCATGGAACTGTTGATTCTTTAAAAAAAGACTGAGAGAAAAGAAAAGAAAAGAAAAGAAAAGAAAAGAAAAAACAGGAATGACCCACTGAAAATATAACCTAATTAATTTATGGAACATTTTCAGTGCAGTAAAAATTATGAATTTAACAACTGCTTCGTGTTAAACATTATAAATAAAGACAGTTGGTGGCGCTGTCGGTCCTTGTTGTTGTGAGCCATCCTACAAATGTCCCAAATGCATCAACGGCGGGCAACTCGCGCTTTCATCCAGAGGAGGTAAGGGGAAGAAAGGGGACAGCTCCGTGGTGCTGAAACCCACACGGGAAACGGCCACGCGTTTTTGACTCTTTCGGATTCAACCAGTTCTTACTGTTTTTGGATTCACATCTTGCGGTAAAAGTAAGACCAATTTGATCACTTTCAGTATAGCGTGCCGTGAATTGGAAATAATGGACTTGTATGAGACAATGAGACCACACAAAAGGTACGTGAATCTCATTGTGTTGCTTTTCATGGCTCACGTTTTGGCTTCCGTGACTCATTATTCCATCCCCGAGGAGCTTAAAGAAGGATCCGTTGTTGCCAACCTGGCGAACGATCTCAGCGTGGACGTCACAAGTCTGATTAGAAGAAAAATGCGTGTCGACATCATCGCAAACAAAAAATATTTGGACGTGAACAAAGAGACTGGAGAACTGTATATTGCGGAGAAGATTGACAGAGAACACATTTGCACCACTAAATGGACATCATCATGCTATCTCAAACTGGAGGTGACGCTGGAAAACCCACTGCGTATTTTTAACATAGAGTTGGAAATACTAGACATGAATGACAACGCCCCGCAGTTCAGACGAGACGCCATTCATTTGGATTTATCCGAGTCCACTTCGGCAGGGGAGAGATTCTCTTTAAGTAATGCAGTCGATCCTGATGTAGGGAGCAATTCGGTGAGTACGTATCATTTGAGTGAAAGCGAGCATTTTAATATAGAGGTTCAGACGGGTCGAGATGGATCCAAATTTGCAGATTTAATATTGAAGAAGGCATTAGACAGGGAGCAGCAGGAAATGCACAATTTAATACTAACGGCAGTAGATGGCGGTAAACCTCCGCGTTCTGGCACTGTCAGTATTATTGTTCATGTTTTAGATACCAACGACAATGCGCCTTTGTTTGATAAATCTATATACAATGTCAAAATAACGGAAAATTCTCCGATTGGAAGCCTTGTTATTGATTTAAATGCCACTGACTTGGATGAGGGCTCAAATTCGGATTTATCATATTCATATAGTTTATATACACCCGAGAAAACACAAGAAACATTTTATTTAAATCCTTCTACTGGTGAGATAACTGTTAAAGGAATGCTGAACTATGAAGATTTTAATATTTATGATATGGAGGTGATAGCAGCAGACAGAGGCATCAATAGTTTGTCAGGTCAATGTACGATCAAAATTCAAATCGAGGACATGAATGACAACCACCCAGAAATATCCATTAAATCTTTTCAAAGTCCAGTCAGCGAAAACATTGATGTCGACACTGTGATAGCAGTGGTCAGTGTAAGTGACAAGGACTCAGGCAATAATGGAGTGGTGGATCTTCGCATTCCAAATAACATGCCTTTTAAACTGAGGGAGTCCCCTGATAACTTTTATAAATTAGTTGTTTCGGAGCCATTAGACCGTGAAAAGGTTCCAGAATACGACATCACCTTCACCGTCACCGACAGAGGCTCCCCTCCTTTAAGTGACAATGAAACCATGACTTTGCAGCTGCTGGATGTGAATGACAACGTCCCACACTTCCCTCAGTCCTTTTATACCATACGTGTGATGGAGAATAACGCCCCTGGCGCCTTGCTGAGCTCCCTCAGTGCGTTTGACCCCGACCTCCATGAGAACCAGTACCTCGTGTACTTCATCCTGGAGAAGGAGATTGCCAACACCTCCATGTCCATGCTGTTCTCCATCAATCCAGAGAACGGCAACCTTTACGCACTCAAGACTTTTGACTATGAGATGGAGAAGGACTTCCTCTTCCACATCGAGGCCAGAGACTCTGGCTCTCCTCCGCTCAGCAGCAACGTGACCGTCCACATCATCATCGTGGATCAGAATGACAACGCCCCGGTTATCGTCTCTCCTTGGCGAGCGCACGGCTCCGTGGTGGAGGAGAAGATCCCCAGATCCACAGATAAAGGCTCCCTGGTAGCCAAGGTGATAGCCTTGGACGTGGATTCCGTGCACAACTCTCGCGTCACCTACCAGTTCCTGCAGGTGACCGACGCCTCCTTGTTCAGTCTAGACCAGTACAGCGGAGAGATCCGCACCATGAGGATGTTCAGCTACAAAGATTCTCGTCACCAGAGACTGGTTGTTGTTGCTAAGGACAACGGGGATCCCGCTCTCTCTGCTACAGTCACCATCAAGCTGTCCACGGTGGAAACGGCCGTGAAGGCCTACTCGGACATGACCGAGGTGCCTCTGGAATACGATATTTTCTCTGACCTCAACCTGTATTTGGTCATCGGTCTGGGCTCGGTGTCCTTCCTGCTGCTCATCACCATCCTGGTCACCATTGTGCTCAAGTGTCAGAAGGTCAAGCCCAGCAAAGCAGCTCCTCCCTGCAGGAACAGCGTGATCAGCGAGAGGAACTCCACCATCGCAGATTCCACTCTGGTGTCCAACGATGCCTACTGGTACAGTCTGTTCCTAGCAGAGACCAGGAAAGGAAAGCTGGTGGTCAGGCAGCCCATGCCGAAGGGCTCCAGATACATTGTGTCCAGTATTCCCAGGAGCACAGGCATGTCTGAGACCAGCGACTCCGCTCCTTCCACTCTGCAGGTATGAGTTATTTACTTAAAAGCTTACAAATTTATGAAGTGAAAATGTATTTACAGCCGCAGTTGTCAATAAAGTCACAAATAATTTTTTACAAATCTATAATATGGAATTTTATCAGGGTATTGTCACAATTAGAATTCTAAAAACAGTTTTATCCAACCTATCTGACTTTTCCTGTCTGTTGAGTGGTGGGAAAACAGAGGGAGGCGCTGTTTGACCAACAAAATCACCCAGACGTCATGACAGTGACGCGTTGCTGTCAGGGCAGATTGGAAAATACCGCACAGTCGTTCACTGATATCACGCCCAACAAATTGTCTTCACGCAGTTTAGCAGGGTGAAACTCGTATGACAATATTGGAGCTCAAGATCGTTAGAGGAGTTAAATCATCGTTTGGATTCCAAGTAGTTGTGTCCGAGCCGAAATAGAATGGACCGGCAAACAACAACAAGGGGGTCCGTTTTACAAGCGTGTTCTTTGAAGAGGTACGTGCTGCTCTTTGTGTTTTTTTCCTTTGTTCATCGGGCACCGGCTTCAGTCACACATTATTCCATTCCTGAAGAAATGAAGGAAGGATCAGTAGTTGCCAACATTGCCAACGATCTGAGTTTGGATGTAAAAACGCTCAACAAGAGGAAGATGCGGCTCGATATTATTGCAAATAAGCGATATCTGGACGTGAAAAAAGAGACTGGTGAGCTTTATATTGTGGAGAAAATTGACAGGGAAATCCTTTGTCCAACTAAATCATCTGCTTCTTGTTATCTGAAACTGGAGGTGATTTTGGAAAATCCTGTGCGCATATTTAACATCGAGGTGGAAATAATGGACATTAACGACAACGCCCCTCAATTTCGTAGAAACGTAATCCATCTGGACATATCTGAATCTACTCCTAAAGGAGAGAGATTCTCTCTTAGCAATGCAGTCGATCCGGATGTTGGAAGTAACACAGTAAAAACATATCATCTGAGTGAAAGTCAGCATTTTGGCATTGAAGTTCAGACTGGAAGAGATGGATCCAAATTTGCTGAATTAATTTTGAAAGAGACATTAGACCGAGAGGAGCAGGCTGTGCACAATTTAATGCTAACAGCAATAGATGGCGGTAAACCTGCTCGTTCTGGGACTGCCAAAATTATTGTTCAAGTATTAGACACGAATGATAATGCTCCTCTGTTTGACAAGTCAATTTACAGTGTGAAAATAATGGAAAATTCCCCCATTGGAAGCCTTGTTATTGATTTAAATGCGACTGACTTGGATGAGGGCTCAAATTCGGATCTATCATATTCATATAGTTTGTATACACCAGAGAAAACACAAGAAACATTTAATTTGAATCCTTCTACAGGTGAGATTACTGTTAAAGGAATGTTGAATTATGAAGATTTCAGGATTTATGATATGGAGGTGATAGCAGCAGACAGAGGCGTCAATAGTTTATCCGGACAATGTACGATCAAAATTCAAATCGAGGACATGAATGACAACCACCCAGAAATATCCATTAAATCTTTTCAAAGTCCAGTCAGCGAAAACGTTGATGTCGACACTGTGATAGCAGTGGTCAGTGTGAGTGACAAGGACTCAGGCAATAATGGAGTGGTGGATCTTCGCATTCCAAATAACATGCCTTTTAAACTGAGGGAGTCCCCTGATAACTTTTATAAATTAGTTGTTTCGGAGCCATTAGACCGTGAGAAAGTTCCAGAATACGACATCACCTTCACCGTCACCGACAGAGGCTCCCCTCCTTTAAGTGACAACGAAACCATGACTTTACAGCTGCTGGATGTGAATGACAACGTCCCACACTTCCCTCAGTCCTTTTATACCATACGTGTGATGGAGAATAACGCCCCAGGCGCCTTGCTGAGCTCCCTCAGTGCGTTTGACCCCGACCTCCATGAGAACCAGTACCTCGTGTACTTCATCCTGGAGAAGGAGATAGCCAACACCTCCATGTCCATGCTCTTCTCCATCAATCCAGAGAACGGCAACCTTTACGCACTCAAGACTTTTGACTATGAGATGGAGAAGGACTTCCTCTTCCACATCGAGGCCAGAGACTCTGGCTCTCCTCCGCTCAGCAGCAACGTGACTGTCCACATCATCATCGTGGATCAGAATGACAACGCCCCGGTTATCGTCTCTCCTTGGCGAGCGCACGGCTCCGTGGTGGAGGAGAAGATCCCCAGATCCACAGATAAAGGCTCCCTGGTGGCCAAGGTGATAGCCTTGGACGTGGATTCCGTGCACAACTCTCGCGTCACCTACCAGTTCCTGCAGGTGACCGACGCCTCCTTGTTCAGTCTAGACCAGTACAACGGAGAGATCCGCACCATGAGGATGTTCAGCTACAAAGATTCTCGTCACCAGAGACTGATTGTTGTTGCCAAGGACAACGGAGATCCTGCTCTCTCCGCTACAGTCACCATCAAGCTGTCCACGGTGGAAACGGCCGTGAAGGCCTACTCGGACATGACCGAGGTGCCTCTGGAATACGACATCTTCTCGGACCTCAACCTGTATTTGGTCATCGGTCTGGGCTCGGTGTCCTTCCTGCTGCTCATCACCATCCTGGTCACCATCGTGCTCAAGTGTCAGAAGGTCAAGCCCAGCAAAGCGGCTCCTCCCTGCAGGAACAGCGTGATCAGTGAGAGGAATTCCACCATCGCAGATTCCACTCTGGTGTCCAACGATGCCTACTGGTACAGTCTGTTCCTAGCAGAGACCAGGAAAGGAAAGCTGGTGGTCAGGCAGCCCATGCCGAAGGGCTCCAGATACATTGTGTCCAGTATCCCCAGGAGCACAGGCATGTCTGAAACTAGTGACTCGGCTCCTTCTACCTTGCAGGTATGACTCAAGTGCGTCTGCGTTTGTTTGGTGACATACTTACTCAAATGTAATGAGGATTTCTTGCTTTATTTTAGAGTGTCACTATACCGGCTTCCTAACATGACTTTTTAAGATTATTATTTACCAATGTCTTCTACGTGAGTGATAAATTGAATGACTGCTTTATCTGAACATACAAACATCAACAGAAAGGACAGCTATGAGAAAGGAAGAAAGAAAATAGTAAACAAAAAAACATTGAAGAGAACCGTCATATGTTTCATCCTTCTGCACAGTCTTTGTGTTAAAAAAGGATGAGGATGAAATAATAAAAAACAATGTACCTCTTCTTACCTCTTTTTCTCCACATAATTTTGACATAGGATATATTGAAACAATACACCAATAGGTTTATATATGCTTATATAAATGTACCCTAATTACATGCCCACATATAAATGTGTACATTCATCTTGTTCTTAAACTCAACATATATATAAACTTTTATATACCTTTGAAACAAAAACAGCCCTTTAGCAAGTCAGACAACCTTCAGGGCTCCAAACTGAACAAAATTTCAAACATATATGAAAAAAAAAATACAATCTAAACAGGGCAGCACAGCGATCGACTGGTTAGCGTGTCTGCCTCACAGTGCAGAGATTCAGGGTTCAATTCCACGCTCCGTGCTTCCTGTGTGGAGTTTGCATACCTATCAACTCATACGGTTTAGCCATAGTTCATACGGATTTTGTGGTGAATCTTACGTATATGGCCATATCGCACAAATCATACGGATTCTGAAAATTTCCATTTTTTTTTTTTTTTTTTCCCCTAACAGGTAGTTCCGTTTGCTTTTGCCCAGAATGGTGCTAGTCTACTCGAATGCTTTCATTTCCGGTAACTTTCCAGTAAATCACGTGGTTCCTAGTTGAAAACAGCAGAGTATTCATTGCATACTTCGGTAGTGTACAAGCAAGTTCTACAAGGAAACAAATATATCATTCATATTCCGTGGGTTTTTTTCTGCCGTTATTTTGACATATAAAATGCTTTGGTATGTGATAAGGATTTTTTTGGTAGTTTATACAGGTTGGCGCTCCGAAAAGTTGACAGGTATGAGTTTGCATGTTCTCCCCCATGCCTGCGTGGGTTTTCTCCGGGTACTTTGGTTTCCTCCCACATTCCAAAAACTTGCACGGTAGGTTAATTGGACACTCTAAATTGTCTAAAAGCGTGATTGTGAGTGTGAATGGTTGTTTTTGTTGATGTTTGCCCTACGATCGGCTGGCAAGTAGTTCACGGTGTACACCACCTCCTGTCCAAAGATGGATTGGGATAGGCTCCGACATGCCCGCAACTCCCGTGAGGATAAGCGGCATAATGGTTGGATGGAAAAACATGACACAATTTCATCACAGCAACTGAGATAACACAGGCAGATGTTTCATCATTTTCAAAATGTGTCTTACCTGATTCACACATTTTTTTTCTCAATACTTTTATATATATTTTTGAACAAATTAAGTGACCAAATATTTATCAGGCAATTTCATCAACATTCAGAAATCAACAACTCTTACAGTGACCATCATAGACACATCTTTATTTTCTATTTGTGCTTGATTTTTTTTTTAAATATCTGTTCCCGCAGATCATAACAACTCTCTCTGATTTCAAATAGTTCCTGTGTACTGTGGCAAAGTAAATCATTCTGTATGGTGTACACTATCTGTGCTATTTGAAATCCAACTATGTCACACAATTTGACAGTCTTGAAAATGATAGACGGTGTATGGTTGGTTCTTTGTAGTTTAATTAATTAATTTGTCGCTATATTTTGTAACAAAAAAATTGGATGATTGTTTTTTTTCTGTCATTGTTACCCCACATCGCCAGACACTAAATCATAAATGACAGAAGCAGCTTGGTTTTATCAGCGATGGCTTAACATGTTGCTTTAACCATTATTTGGCTTCCAGCGTCGTTTCGTATCCATTACCACTCCAAGAAAATTATCATACACTCTTACTTTTTCAAATGAATTTACCGTGATTTTGACCTAGCTTTTTATTTTTCTGCATGCAAACTTTATCATTGACCTCATTAAACTAATAATACAAAAGTCAAAACTCAGTAAATGAAAGAGTCTATTGGATTTACAATGGGGAGGGGGGCATTGCAACACTGGTTGCACGCATTAAAATCATAAATGTTGGAGAAAATAAAATAATATTATTGTTGTGAAACCTGATTTTTACACGTGCAACCAATGGCCATGCTTTCTTTTAAAAGTGAATTTGACAGTGTGAACATTGCATTCACACATTTGCAGTTGGTGGTGAATTATGTACATAGAAGTCACTACAACAGCCTCTTTTTTGAGTGATATGAATGGAACCCCAAATCAATTTATAGCCTATATTCTGGCCTGAGAAAAGTGTAGGGGAGTTTAGTGTCATGCTCAAGGCCAACTCACTTAATTTTAGTCATTTCCACATTTCTACGTGTCTTTCAGTGTCTTTTGGTAATAGATCGTATTGCTTGCCACGCTACCACCGTGGGAGGAATGTAGGAGTAGCATAGCTGACCCTCGTGGTGGAAATATATTTTGACAGGAGCGTTAATTTAATCAATTTATACAGAAACGATATATTTAAAGAATTCAGCGCGCGTCGTGATACGATCGACACAATAGTATGGTGGCGCTGTTTGTGATAATATTCAAATGAGAGCCCATTCCTGTCGTCATCATCGATCTCGTCATAGGGCGGTTCTTGAACAAACTGGACCACTTTGCATTGATGAAACGAGACTGCGCCGATGCGGTCATTGATTCTGTCGAGTATTATCTGGAGTAAATTTGCAAATTCGCGTTTTGGGCAATATTGTGCGGCGAAGTTGGATTGGAAAAAACACGCATTTGGATCTGGACTGGGGTGCAGCGAGCGCACATGAGAACAATGAGCTCCGCTGCAATTACGCAGTCACGGCAAAGGTACGTGCTGTTCCTTGTTGTTATTCTTCTCTGGTCTGTTAATCAAATATCCACCTCCGTGACCCATTATTCCATACCTGAGGAAATGAAGGAGGGATCCGTGGTTGCCAACCTTGCCAGCGATCTCGGACTGGACGTTAAAACACTGATCCAAAGGAAGATGCGGTTGGACATTATTTCAAACAAAAAATATCTGGACGTGAACAAAGACACCGGGGAGCTGTACATCGTTGAGAAGATTGACAGGGAACACATCTGCCCAACAAAATCTCCAGGTTCTTGTTATCTCGGGCTAGAGATGATCCTGGAAAACCCGTTAAGAATTTTTAACATCGAAGTTGAAATAATGGACATGAATGACAACGCCCCTCAATTTAGGAGAGACGCCTTTCATTTGGATATATCCGAATCGACACCAAAGGGTGAGAGATTCTCTCTCAGCAATGCAGTCGATCCGGATGTTGGCAGTAACACAGTTAAAACGTATCATCTCAGTGAAAGTGAACATTTTAAAATTGAGGTTCAGACGGGGAGGGAAGGAAGGAAAATTGCCGATTTGATATTGAATAAAGTTTTAGACCGAGAGGAGCAGGCTGTGCACAATTTAATATTAACAGCAGTAGATGGCGGTACACCTCCGCGTTCAGGCACAGCGAGTATTATTGTTCATGTTTTAGACAATAATGACAACGCCCCTGTCTTTGACAACACTATTTACAGTGTTAAAGTAATGGAAAATTCCCCCATTGGAAGCCTTGTTATTGATTTAAATGCGACTGACTTGGATGAGGGTTCAAATTCTGATTTAACATACTCATATAGTTTATATACACCAGAGAAAGCACAAGAAACGTTTAATTTGAATCCATCTACAGGTGAGATCACTGTGAAAGGAATGTTAAATTATGAAGATTTCAAGATTTATGATATGGAGGTTATAGCAGCAGACAGAGGCGTCAATAGTTTATCAGGACAATGTACGATCAAAATTCAAATCGAGGACATGAATGACAACCACCCAGAAATATCCATTAAATCTTTTCAAAGTCCAGTCAGCGAAAACATTGATGTCGACACTGTGATAGCAGTGGTCAGTGTGAGTGACAAGGACTCAGGCAATAATGGAGTGGTGGATCTTCGCATTCCAAATAACATGCCTTTTAAACTGAGGGAGTCCCCTGATAACTTTTATAAATTAGTTGTTTCGGAGCCATTAGACCGTGAAAAGGTTCCAGAATACGACATCACCTTCACCGTCACCGACAGAGGCTCCCCTCCTTTAAGTGACAACGAAACCATGACTTTGCAGCTGCTGGATGTGAATGACAACGTCCCACACTTCCCTCAGTCCTTTTATACCATACGTGTGATGGAGAATAACGCCCCAGGCGCCTTGCTCAGCTCCCTCAGTGCGTTTGACCCCGACCTCCATGAGAACCAGTACCTTGTGTATTTCATCCTGGAGAAGGAGATAGCCAACACCTCCATGTCCATGCTGTTCTCCATCAATCCAGAGAACGGCAACCTTTACGCACTCAAGACTTTTGACTACGAGATGGAGAAGGACTTCCTTTTCCACATTGAGGCCAGAGACTCTGGCTCTCCTCCGCTGAGCAGCAACGTGACCGTCCACATCATCATCGTGGATCAGAATGACAACGCCCCAGTTATCGTCTCTCCGTGGCGAGCGCACGGCTCTGTGGTGGAAGAGAAGATCCCCAGATCCACAGATAAAGGCTCCCTGGTGGCCAAGGTGATAGCCTTGGACGTGGATTCCGTGCACAACTCTCGCGTCACCTACCAGTTCCTGCAGGTGACCGACGCCTCCTTGTTCAGTCTAGACCAGTACAACGGAGAGATCCGCACCATGAGGATGTTCAGCTACAAAGATTCTCGTCACCAGAGACTGGTTGTTGTTGCTAAGGACAACGGGGATCCCGCTCTCTCTGCTACAGTCACCATCAAGCTGTCCACGGTGGAAACGGCCGTGAAGGCCTACTCGGACATGACCGAGGTGCCTCTGGAATACGATATTTTCTCTGACCTCAACCTGTATTTGGTCATCGGTCTGGGCTCGGTGTCCTTCCTGCTGCTCATCACCATCCTGGTCACCATCGTGCTCAAGTGTCAGAAGGTCAAGCCCAGCAAAGCGGCTCCTCCCTGCAGGAACAGCGTGATCAGCGAGAGGAACTCCACCATCGCAGATTCCACTCTGGTGTCCAACGATGCCTACTGGTACAGTCTGTTCCTAGCAGAGACCAGGAAAGGAAAGCTGGTGGTCAGGCAGCCCATGCCAAAGGGCTCCAGATACATTGTGTCCAGTATCCCCAGGAGCACAGGCATGTCTGAGACCAGCGACTCCGCTCCTTCCACTCTGCAGGTATGAGTCAAGTGCATATGATTTGTCAGTGTATTTATAGAGCTTCACATACATCAAATAGGAGTCAGCCCATACCTGCTCTCATTTTTAGTGCATCTGATCAACCCCAAATGAAGTTCAGATGTTCTAGTCGGCTTTTTCTGACATTTTTAGCCATATTTTCAGCATAATCCATGGTTCGCAGAGAGCTTTCAGTGTAAAATTTCATTGTTCAAACATATCAGTTAAGAGAAGGGTACAAATAATTTCCAAGACATTAAATATACCACGGAACACTATGAAAGTATCGTCACAATGAATTGGGAAAATAATGCTAAACACTTAGAACTGGACATACCTCTGAATTGTTTCATCAAGGAGGCTGCCAAGAGCCCAACAGCAATCTTGAAGGAGATGCAGGAATTTCTGTTAATTACAAGTTGTGTAAGACTCCTAGAACAGCTGTGGAGCATTTCTTTTATTTATTTTTAAATAAATGTGTTGTCCATATTATTGGTGTCACAAGTGGTGGAGAAGTTTTGGGATTATTTATCTTGGTCTCTTACCGTGACATTTGAACAGGGGTATACAGACTTTTCTCCAGTGTAGCTGTTCTTTTTGTCGGTCATTGGTTGAATGTGAAGCAATGAATGTTCTGCCTCCTCTGGCTGTGTGTCTCACGCCGTTGATTTCGTCATGCTTCATATAAATTAGTCACTTTGAAAACTTTGCTTCTGTGGAGGGCAGCAGAGACTTTGAGTGGATTTCATGTCTCTGAATTGCAACATTTCTAGCTCCCTGCTCCTCGATACTGTGACAGCACCGCAAAACTTATTCTTGTGCTGCCATTTTAAGGAGCACATCTATTCTTTTAAATTAGCATGAAGGAGTGTGGATTAGGTCTCGAGGAACCTCCGCTGTGGAGCTATAATCGAGGAACCTCCAATGCTGGGGTCAGCCACTCCAGTCCTCGCGAGCCTCTAACCTACATGTTTTTGAAATTTCTCTCCCCCAGCACACTTGATTGAAATGGTCATGATCGTGATCGGGTTTCTGCAGAGCTTGATGATAATCTTAACCATTTGAATCAGGTGTGTTGGAGGAGGGGAACTTCTAAAACATGCAGGATAAGGTCCCTCGAGGACATGAGTTGGTGATCCCTGCTCTCTTGTTTCTTTTGCGGAAGCCTTTCAGCCTCACGACAGAGACATATATGGACGTATGCTAGCTGGACTGCAGCAAAGCAGCATTCCACAAATTAAAAGTTAATTCTATGTTTTTGTAGTTTATTGATCATCTTGGTCTAATTTATGCAGATTTTGTGGACTCTCTATTTAATTTGGGCAGTAACTCTGAAATGACTCCATGGTTACTACACAACGAAAATCTGTAACAGGATGTAGGCTAATTTCTCAAATGCATTCACTAATATCAAAAAATTCAAAATGCCCCTCAAAGTTTTGATGATCATATACAGTTTTTACATTGCACAAAATGGGACTTTTAAATAAAAACAGCTGTGTTTGTGTTCGTTTTAATAATGCCCCAAATTTCAGAAAAAAAAAATCAGTTTGTCAATGCTTGAAATTGAATTCTTTTCACTTTACTTGTGACATGATGCACAGCAGTACATCTACAGCAGACACAATTCATTGCAAAAATCATAAAGATGTGCTATCAGTGAGGGTTGAAGGGGAACTTGGGGATTAAGTCTGCGCAAGCCCGTGAACAATCAGCTCTACTCGTAACAGTATCATGCAAACAGTTGTATCGCGTATAGTGATAGTTTAATATAATTCCACTTGAAATACAAAGCATCAAAGTGGATGAGTTTTGAGTGTAATAATTCGTACATGGAGCAGCAGATTCATTTCTGAGACAGGTCAACGAAGTGCCTTCATCTGTAACTATTGTCCCTGGTAAATGTTGACATTGGCAAACAAACCTAATTTCTTCAAGCGCATATGTTTGGTCAGTGGTATTTTACTGACACTTTATAAGAATTATGTGGTTTATTGTGGCACTTCAACATACTGTCTTACTCAGGTGGCGAGTAAAAACATTTTTTTGGGGACTCACACTTGATCAGTGACTTCCACATGAAACTACTGGATCAAATATGTGAAAATAGGACACAGTATATAAGTGACACCCATGCAATCGTATTTTCTGGCTTGAGGAGAATATGGGAGAGTCTTGCCTTGCAGCCCAAGGGCACAACATTGACTTTCAGCCTTTTACTCATCTCATTGTGCCAATTAGTGTCTTTTGGTGATAAACCACATCTTTATCACGGTATCACCACGTGGTAGGAATGAGTTGGTTCATATCTGTCCTGATTGGTTTCAAAAAATATTTTTTTTATACGACTCAGTCACTCTCAGCTCATCTCATTTGTGTTCCTGGAGGAATTTAAAAGCAGTGGCAAGTCCAAGTGCTTTATCTAAATAAAATCGAACGTACAATTTGACAATGAACCATGGGGGAAAAAAATGAAACAAAAACAACATTAAAAAAAACACAAATAGGTCATTGACATAGTCAATCTATACAGAAAAAAACATGTAAAATGTTTCAGCTTGGGTCGTGAAATAGGATATATAAAAAAACCAGTAGGTTATGGTGGCGCTGTTTTTTGTATTTCAACGAGAGCCCAAACGTTCACATCCTCATCATCGACTCTCGTCATTGGGCGGTTCTGAATAAACTGGACCACTTGGCAGTGCTGGAATCAACTCCCCTCAATGCGGTCATTTTTTTCTGACGATTAACATCTGGAATACATTTGCTAAAACGTATTCTGGACTATTTTACGCCGAAATCGGACCGGACAAACGCACACTGGGACAAAGTGCAGTGAGCCCACGAGAGAACAATGAAGTGCGTCGGAGTGATGCAGCCACGGCAAAGGTACGCGCTGTTCGTCATTGTTATTCTTCTCTCTTTCGTTACTCAAATATCCACCTCCGTGACCCATTATTCCATACCTGAGGAAATGAAGGAGGGATCCGTTGTTGCTAACCTTGCCACCGACCTGGGATTGGATGTCAAAACACTGAATCGGCGGAAGATGCGTTTGGACATTATTTCAAACAAAAAATATCTGGACGTCAACAAAGACACCGGGGAGCTGTATATCGTTGAGAAGATAGATAGGGAACATGTTTGCACGACAAAGTCGTCGGCCTCTTGTTATCTGAGACTTGAGGTGATCCTGGAGAACCCGTTAAGAATTTTTAACATTGAGGTCGAAATAATGGATATGAACGACAACGCCCCTCAATTTCGGAGAGGCGCCTTTCATTTGGATGTGTCCGAGTCGACACCGAAAGGGGAGCGATTCTCTCTGAGCAATGCAGTCGATCCAGATGTAGGCAGCAATACAGTGAAAACATATCATCTGAGTGAAAGTGAACATTTTAACATTGAGGTTCAGACGGGGAGGGAGGGAACAAAACTCGCAGATTTGATATTGAATAAGGTTTTAGACCGAGAGGAGCAGGCTGTGCACAATTTAATATTAACGGCAGTAGATGGCGGTACACCTCCGCGTTCTGGCACAGCGAGTATTATTGTTCATGTTTTAGACAATAATGATAACGCCCCTGTCTTTGATAACACTATTTACAGTGTTAAAATTATGGAAAATTCCCCCATTGGAAGCCTTGTTGTTGATTTAAATGCTACTGATTTGGATGAGGGCTCAAATTCTGATTTAACATACTCATATAGTTTATATACACCAGAGAAAGCACAAGAAACGTTTAATTTAAATCCATCTACTGGTGAGATTACTGTGAAAGGAATGTTGAACTATGAGGATTTTAGGATTTATGATATGGAAGTTATAGCAGCAGACAGAGGTGTCAATAGTTTATCAGGACAATGTACGGTCAAAATTCAAATCGAGGACATGAATGACAACCACCCAGAAATATCCATTAAATCTTTTCAAAGTCCAGTCAGCGAAAACATTGATGTCGACACTGTGATAGCAGTGGTCAGTGTGAGTGACAAGGACTCAGGCAATAATGGAGTGGTGGATCTTCGCATTCCAAATAACATGCCTTTTAAACTGACAGAGTCGCCCGATAACTTTTATAAATTAGTTGTTTCGGAGCCATTAGACCGTGAGAAGGTTCCAGAATACGACATCACCTTCACCGTCACCGACAGAGGCTCCCCTCCTTTAAGTGACAACGAAACCATGACTTTGCAGCTGCTGGATGTGAATGACAACGTCCCACACTTCCCTCAGTCCTTTTATACCATACGTGTGATGGAGAATAACGCCCCTGGCGCCTTGCTGAGCTCCCTCAGTGCGTTTGACCCCGACCTCCATGAGAACCAGTACCTAGTGTACTTCATCCTGGAGAAGGAGATAGCCAACACCTCCATGTCCATGCTCTTCTCCATCAATCCAGAGAACGGCAACCTTTACGCACTCAAGACTTTTGACTATGAGATGGAGAAGGACTTCCTCTTCCACATCGAGGCCAGAGACTCTGGCTCTCCTCCGCTCAGCAGCAACGTGACCGTCCACATCATCATCGTGGATCAGAATGACAACGCCCCAGTTATCGTCTCTCCGTGGCGAGCGCACGGCTCTGTGGTGGAAGAGAAGATCCCCAGATCCACAGATAAAGGCTCCCTGGTGGCCAAAGTGATAGCCTTGGACGTGGATTCCGTGCACAACTCTCGCGTCACCTACCAGTTCCTGCAGGTGACCGACGCCTCCTTGTTCAGTCTGGACCAGTACAACGGAGAGATCCGAACCATGAGGATGTTCAGCTTCAAAGATTCTCGTCACCAGAGACTGATTGTTGTTGCCAAGGACAACGGGGATCCCGCTCTCTCCGCTACAGTCACCATCAAGCTGTCCACGGTGGAAACGGCCGTGAAGGCCTACTCGGACATGACCGAGGTGCCTCTGGAATACGACATCTTCTCGGACCTCAACCTGTATTTGGTCATCGGTCTGGGCTCGGTGTCCTTCCTGCTGCTCATCACCATCCTGGTCACCATCGTGCTCAAGTGTCAGAAGGTCAAGCCCAGCAAAGCGGCTCCTCCCTGCAGGAACAGCGTGATCAGCGAGAGGAACTCCACCATCGCAGATTCCACTCTGGTGTCCAACGATGCCTACTGGTACAGTCTGTTCCTAGCAGAGACCAGGAAAGGAAAGCTGGTGGTCAGGCAGCCCATGCCGAAGGGCTCCAGATACATTGTGTCCAGTATCCCCAGGAGCACAGGCATGTCTGAAACTAGTGACTCAGCTCCTTCCACCTTGCAGGTATGAAGATGAGCGAATGAATCGCTAACTTGTCCTTTATTTTAAACTATGACTGACCCTTTATTATCCTCTACAATTTTCAAATAGCTTAGACCGATAGAACCATTTTTTTGCATGGAATATGCACACGCTAGTAAGGTCACTGATTCGACGTGAGCAATTCAATCAACAAACTTTACTCATTAAAATGCTAACAATATAACCACATTTAGAGCATCCATGCCGGGTTACAGAAAAGAGAAATCCACACTGCACATACTGAAGAACAACGAAATATGCACGATATGACAAAGTTTGCTTTTGGGAAAATAGTTGCATATTAATCTTGATAAATGCCAATACCTGATGCAGTCTTGGTAGACCCTGCCCTCCCAAATACATGATCAAAAAAGAAAACCAATTGCATAGTGCATTCTATAATACTACTCAAGTTATGAATTCCTTTTGGGTGGAAATTAAACAAATAAACTTCCAATAGGATCAGCGGTTCGGATCACGGATGAGTGGATAAAATACCCAGTTATTCTAAAGAAACAATGACAATCAATCATAAAACCTCTCCGAAATAATGAAAATACATTACTTGGGTGTCTTCATATTACACAAACAAAGCACTCACACAAGATGTGTTCAGTTGAGAACCAAAGTTATGATCGCTTCTTGAGTTTTTTTACCCTGCTTGTGCACAGGGACACATGCCTCCTGTAACCCAAGCTGCCCAGGGAACTAAATCTGACAACAAACAAAGATCCCCACACAATAGAACAACGACTTGCTGTTAAAAGTTGCATTTCTTTTGACCTTATTGTTGAGTGTCTCAATGTCACTTCACTGCATTTGAGGGTTACCTGACTCTCTGTTATCTAAAGTCACGAACTAATCTGTCATTAATTCCACACATTGGTAGAATACTTTTTTAACATTTGTATTTGTAATTCAGTGTCTGATAATTATTTTTGACGTTGAGTTTACTCTTGGATTGACTTGGGTACAAAATCTGAGGGAAAGAGTTATGGCATATAGAACGTTTATTCTTTCATTTTGTGGAATAGAATGATCACTGATAAGTGTTTTGTTTTCGAAATTCACGTCTTCGTGACCACGGTCCGTATTTTTCCACGTTTTTGCTCTCTAACTTCTGCTGCAGATTTAGTTGCAGATGCAGATTGGGTAATCACAACCCTCACGATCTGTCCGGCGGCACACGCCCCCAGAAACGGGTTTCCCCCGGGTCCTAAAACGAATTAAGTTGAGGGAAAGGAGAGGATTTATTTTGGCTCTCCACTTTTGTAAAACACATTGCGTACGCATCTCGTTGAATAAAGTTCTCCACTATTCAAAGCAAAACAAAATGCACAAAACGAGGGATTCGATCTTTTGAGTTGATACAATTCGTGTAATTGGATTTGATACTCAAAAATATGTTGGAGGAAAAAAAAGGACGGCATGCACAAACCGCCTTGCGTTCCAGTGAGCGATCACAAAAATAATTACGTGAATTTGAAGCGTGACTTTTTATTTGAACGGTAAATTGACGTTTCTCACAAATACAGTAACATTGTGTACGCATCTCGTTGAATAAAGTTCTCCACTTTCAAAGCAAAACAAAATGCACAAAACGAGGGATTCGATCTTTTGAGTTGATACAATTCGTGTAATTGGGTTTGATTCTCAAAAATATGTTGGAGGAAAAAAAGGACCGCATGCACAAACCGCCTTGCGTTCCAGTGAGTGATCACAAAAATAATTACTTGAATTTAAAGCGTGCCTTTTTAGTTGAACGGTAAATTGACGTTTCTCACAAATACAGTATTACTGTTTAAAAATACTGTATTATATTGAACTTGTATAATCACAAACTGCAGATGTTCACCAAGGGCGGATCAAGTCGCTGTTCGCCCAAAAATAAATCTTGGTGATGAAGTCATTTCTGAAAACGTATTCCATTGGTGCACGGCGAGGGGCTTCAAATATCAGTGAACGGAAAACGACCCTGCAGGAGAATGTTTTTCGTCTGACTCAGAAAAAAAAACCCGATTGGACTAAACATCACGTTTGATTATTTTAAACAAAGAATGTTCCCCACCAGAAGCCGTGCGTCCTTTCGGCATTCACGGGAAAGGTATGTTGGCGCGTTTTGGTAGAAGTGATGGAGAACTCCCCTATTGGCAGTCTAGTGATTCAATTAAATGCCACTGATTTAGATGAGGGCTCCAATTCAGATGTGCTTTATTCTTATAGTTTATACACATCAGAAAGAACACAGAATGTGTTTACTTTAAATCAAGAAAATGGTGAAATCAGAGTGAAGGAGATGATTAATTATGAAGATTTGAAATCTTATGAAATGGAAGTCATCGCAAGTGATAAGGGGCTCAACCCCTTATCTGGCCAGTGTAAGGTGACGATACAGGTGACAGATATGAATGACAACCACCCAGAAATTTCGATCAAGTCCTTTCAAAGCCCGATTAAAGAAAACATACCTGTAGACACTGTGATAGCAGTTGTGAGTGTGAGTGATAAGGACTCAGGCAATAATGGAGTGGTGGATATTCACATTCCACACAATATGCCTTTTAAACTGAGGGAGTCCTCCGATAGCCATTTTAAGTTAGTTGTTTCGGAGCCATTAGACCGTGAGAAGGTTCCAGAATACGACATCACCTTCACCGTCACCGACAGAGGCTCCCCTCCTTTAAGTGACAACGAAACCATGACTTTGCAGCTGCTGGATGTGAATGACAACGTCCCACACTTCCCTCAGTCCTTTTATACCATACGTGTGATGGAGAATAACGCCCCTTCGTCTGACTCGGAAAAAAAACCCGATTGGACTAAACATCACGTTTGATTATTTTAAACAAAGAATGTTCCCCACCAGAAGCCGTGCGTCCTTTCGGCATTCACGGGAAAGGTATGTTGGCGCGTTCATTTTTCTTTGTGCCACAATGAACACCGTGTTGGCCGTCACGCACTACTCCGTTCCCGAAGAGATGGAGGAAGGCTCCGTAGTTGCTAATTTGGCATCGGATTTGGGTTTAGACGTGAGGACGCTGAACAAGAGGAAAATGCGCATCGATGTTGTCTCAAATAAAAAATATCTTGAGATCAACAAGGACACAGGAGAGCTTTTTGTTCTGGAGAGAATCGACAGGGAGTTACTGTGTCCTTTGAAAACGACCACGTCCTGTTTTATTAAATTAGACGCAGCGATTGAGAATCCAATTCGGATGTTTAACATTGAAGTGGAAGTCACGGATATTAATGATAACGCTCCTCATTTTCGAAGAGGCACCATGCATTTGGACATCTCCGAGTCAAGCCCGGTTGGGGAGAGGTTCTCCCTGAATAATGCAGTGGACCCCGATGTTGGAGCCAATTCTGTGCAAAACTACCACCTGAGCTCGAGCCAACATTTTAGTATCGAAATTCAGACTGGGAGAGACGGCACCAAATTTGCAGATTTAATTCTTACAAAGGTGCTGGACAGAGAGCAGCAGGCTGTTCATCATCTCATCCTCACTGCGGTGGACGGTGGAGTTCCCACACGCACGGGCACGGCCAGCATCATTGTTCGAGTCTTGGATGTCAATGACAACGCCCCATCATTTGACAAAGACAAATACTTAGTAGAAGTGATGGAGAACTCCCCCATTGGCAGTCTGGTGATTCAATTAAATGCCACTGATTTAGATGAGGGCTCCAATTCAGATGTGCTTTATTCTTATAGTTTATACACATCAGAAAGAACACAGAATGTGTTTACTTTAAATCAAGAAAATGGTGAAATCAGAGTGAAGGAGATGATTAATTATGAAGATTTGAAATCTTATGAAATGGAAGTCATCGCAAGTGATAAGGGGCTCAACCCCTTATCTGGCCAGTGTAAGGTGACGATACAGGTGACAGATATGAATGACAACCACCCAGAAATTTCGATCAAGTCCTTTCAAAGCCCGATTAAAGAAAACATACCTGTAGACACTGTGATAGCAGTTGTGAGTGTGAGTGATAAGGACTCAGGTAATAATGGAGTGGTGGATATTCACATTCCACACAATATGCCTTTTAAACTGAGGGAGTCCTCCGATAGCCATTTTAAGTTAGTTGTTTCGGAGCCATTAGACCGTGAGAAGGTTCCAGAATACGACATCACCTTCACCGTCACCTGTCACGCCACCTTACAAAAATGTTGCAAAAAGTATGGGAACCGAAAAAAAATTAAAGCAAAAAACATGGATTTAGTATGAAATCTGGCCACCTCAAAACTGATATGCTTGCAGGTAAACTGTCTCTGAGCTCATCCGCGCCTACACACCTGCCCGGCGCCTCAGGTCTGCGGACCAGACATTATTATAAGTATCAAGAACTAAACGGAGGCTCAGAGGGGATCGAGCCTTTTCTGTTGCTGGTCCCTCTCTCTGGAATGACCTCCCACTGAACATTCGGCAAGCCTCCTCGCTGCCCATCTTGAGGGGATCGAGCCTTTTCTGTTGCTGGTCCCTCTCTGTGGAATGACCTCCCACTGAACATTCGGCAAGCCTCCTCGCTGTCCATCTTCAAAACCCGCCTCAAAACTCATTTGTATTCTTTGGCATTTGACTCAGCATGACTTAGATTTGTTCTTGCTTTTGCTGTTTGGTGCTTTTTACCGTCTTTATTACCGATTTGCTTTACTGTTTGTTGTATATGTTGAATTGCTTTATGTACAGCACTTTGTATGCAGCGATGGCTGTTTGAAAGTGCTCTATAAATACAGTAGAGTTGAGTTGAGTTGTTTTGTTTTATGAATGGCAGCGGGTGGATATACAGGTTTTGTAACTTCTCAGTCGAGTGCAGGAGCATTTACTAATTGCTCTACCCATTACTGTAGTTCCTGGCTTAGATAAACAAACAAAAGATATGTCTATAATTAAGACATCATAGTTTTGGGACAAATTAAGTTGAATATTGGATAGTTTCACCAAGGCACCTTTGGTTGAGAATCACTGTTCTGCTGTATGAACACTGATTGCTTTACTTAGAGATTAGTAGTCGGCCAAAGTTTTAAAACATGAGAAAAAACAAAAAACATTTTTTTTACATACTATCAGTATTATCCTGATGTTACATGTTTGCATTGTTGCAAAACAAAGCAAAAAATCAACTAAATTCCAGTATAACTTAGTAGAATGTGTGGTTTTGGCACCCTGACCACCTTGTCACTCACACAACCGGAGCTTTATCAATTGTATTCTTTGTGTACTCATTTTTTTAATGGCAAATAATTCACAATGCTTGTGCTGTTGTTTTCACATTGAGGTGAGATTTACACAAAATTCCCCTTCAAACAATTCCATGAACAATGGAATAATGTCTACTTCTGTACTTGGCTTGCCAAAACTTTACCGTATTCTCACTGTTTTGATGGCACGTTGGAGTCTTTCACTTAAATGAGGCTTACTATTTGATTCAAACACATTTGCATGTTTGAGCTAGTACACCTGAATTCTTTAAATGTAACACATTTCATACACTTGCATATTCAAGTTTATAGTGCATCTCATCTTTAGGATATAGGCTAATATGGGAACTATTAGTACACAGGTGGAAATCAAACTCAGATGGTCTTTTCCGAGAGAGTTGATTTACAAATCAAGTGTGATGGATGGATGGATGGATGACTTCCAGCCAGAGAGAGAAAATAACTTATCAAGAGATGTTAAGGGAATTTAGTCAGTGTAATGAAAATACCCCACAGTAGTTGTGTCTATATTATTTACAACCGCTAGGCCCACTTGTAATATACCCTAAAGTTGTCTGTATAAACTGAAAAGTGTGACTGTTTTTTTCTGAATAAGTCTTGCGTTTTTAAAATAACATTTTACGTATTGTATGACATATCTCACGTTAGTTTTGTGCATTAAAGTTATTACCTGAACACAACAAACAGCTCAAGTATAGTTTGAAGTTGACGATAAAACAACATTTGGTGCTTTAATTAGAACGAACATACATTTTAAAACGTCTTGCAAATAGTTATCTGTACCTTATGTTATTCTTTTCGATGTAAACACTCACTGTGCTGAAGTTTATTCATTAATTAAGATATGAAACGGGGTGGCTCTGAAAACATTTGACGTGATTTCGTTATGCAATGCAATCAGGACTCAGTGAGCTTTTCATAATTTCACGGCGGAATGGCCGATGTTGGAAAGTGCTGTAAGGACTCTTGAAAACGAGTTTCGTCGCTGCCGTCCACCAAATCTCTCACACCGGTGATGTCACCGGTATCGCAAATTCTAATTGGAGGAGGACAAGGAGACGGACGTTTCAACACTGACGTCACACTGCTCACGAGGGGGCAAAACGGTGGAATTGACGGTCTCGTTGTGCTTATTCGTTGAATAGGGGAGCGACTCTTCATACATTTCGTCGCGTTTAAAGGACTTACCATCAAGATGACGCGCGGCTGCAGTAAGTTAGTCGAGACGCGCCCACTTGTCATTCTTCTGTTTTTATGCACGTTGGTGGACCCGACGTCGTCTGTCACCCACTACTCGATTCCTGAAGAGATGGACGAAGGTTCAGTCGTTGCTAATTTGGCGTCCGATTTGGGTTTAGACGTGCGGACGCTCAACAAGAGGAAAATGCGCATCGATGTGGTCGCAAATAAAAAATATCTAGACATCAACAAAGACACGGGAGAGCTCTTTATTTTGGAGAGAATAGACGGAGAAGTACTGTGCACCTTCAAAACAACCGCGTATTGCTCTCTGAAATTGGACGCAACGATTGAAAATCCCATTCGCATGTTTAACATTGAAGTGGAAATCACGGATATTAATGATAACGCTCCGCATTTTCGAAGAGGCACAATGCATTTGGACATCTCCGAGTCGAGCCCGGTTGGAGAGAGGTTCTCCCTGAATAATGCAGTGGACCCCGATGTTGGGGCCAATTCTGTGCAAAACTACCACCTGAGCTCGAGCCAACATTTTAATATCGAAATTCAGACTGGGAGAGACGGCACCAAATTTGCAGATTTAATTCTTACAAAGGTGCTGGACAGAGAGCAGCAGGCTGTTCATCATCTCATCCTCACTGCGGTGGACGGTGGAGTTCCCACACGCACGGGCACGGCCAGCATCATTGTTCGAGTCTTGGATGTCAATGACAACGCCCCATCATTTGACAAAGACAAATACTTAGTAGAAGTGATGGAGAACTCCCCCATTGGCAGTCTGGTGATTCAATTAAATGCCACTGATTTAGATGAGGGCTCCAATTCAGATGTGCTTTATTCTTATAGTTTATACACATCAGAAAGAACACAGAATGTGTTTACTTTAAATCAAGAAAATGGTGAAATCAGAGTGAAGGAGATGATTAATTATGAAGATTTGAAATCTTATGAAATGGAAGTCATCGCAAGTGATAAGGGGCTCAACCCCTTATCTGGCCAGTGTAAGGTGACGATACAGGTGACAGATATGAATGACAACCACCCAGAAATTTCGATCAAGTCCTTTCAAAGCCCGATTAAAGAAAACATACCTGTAGACACTGTGATAGCAGTTGTGAGTGTGAGTGATAAGGACTCAGGCAATAATGGAGTGGTGGATATTCACATTCCACACAATATGCCTTTTAAACTGAGGGAGTCCTCCGATAGCCATTTTAAGTTAGTTGTTTCGGAGCCATTAGACCGTGAGAAGGTTCCAGAATACGACATCACCTTCACCGTCACCGACAGAGGCTCCCCTCCTTTAAGTGACAACGAAACCATGACTTTGCAGCTGCTGGATGTGAATGACAACGTCCCACACTTCCCTCAGTCCTTTTATACCATACGTGTGATGGAGAATAACGCCCCAGGCGCCTTGCTGAGCTCCCTCAGTGCGTTTGACCCCGACCTCCATGAGAACCAGTACCTCGTGTACTTCATCCTGGAGAAGGAGATAGCCAACACCTCCATGTCCATGCTGTTCTCCATCAATCCAGAGAACGGCAACCTTTACGCACTCAAGACTTTTGACTACGAGATGGAGAAGGACTTCCTTTTCCACATTGAGGCCAGAGACTCTGGCTCTCCTCCGCTCAGCAGCAACGTGACCGTCCACATCATCATCGTGGATCAGAATGACAACGCCCCAGTTATCGTCTCTCCGTGGCGAGCGCACGGCTCTGTGGTGGAAGAGAAGATCCCCAGATCCACAGATAAAGGCTCCCTGGTGGCCAAGGTGATAGCCTTGGACGTGGATTCCGTGCACAACTCTCGCGTCACCTACCAGTTCCTGCAGGTGACCGACGCCTCCTTGTTCAGTCTGGACCAGTACAACGGAGAGATCCGCACCATGAGGATGTTCAGCTACAAAGATTCTCGTCACCAGAGACTGATTGTTGTTGCCAAGGACAACGGAGATCCTGCTCTCTCCGCTACAGTCACCATCAAGCTGTCCACGGTGGAAACGGCCGTGAAGGCCTACTCGGACATGACCGAGGTGCCTCTGGAATACGACATCTTCTCGGATCTCAACCTGTATTTGGTCATCGGTCTGGGCTCGGTGTCCTTCCTGCTGCTCATCACCATCCTGGTCACCATCGTGCTCAAGTGTCAGAAGGTCAAGCCCAGCAAAGCGGCTCCTCCCTGCAGGAACAGCGTGATCAGTGAGAGGAACTCCACCATCGCAGATTCCACTCTGGTGTCCAACGATGCCTACTGGTACAGTCTGTTCCTAGCAGAGACCAGGAAAGGAAAGCTGGTGGTCAGGCAGCCCATGCCGAAGGGCTCCAGATACATTGTGTCCAGTATTCCCAGGAGCACAGGCATGTCTGAAACTAGCGGCTCGGCTCCTTCCACCTTGCAGGTAAAAAATATTTGCTACTTCAACAGCAATGATGAAGACTGAAGAGCAGTATCCAGTTCTGCAGTCACAGTGCAGCATTTTCTCAATGATTTTACGTATTGCAGTTAAATTCCAATTTTAAATATGTCAAAGTGCAGGCTGGACGGTAGAAGAATAATCAATAAAGTTTTACTTTTTATGGCACCCAATTTGTGTACTATGTATATTTCGCTTTTACAGTACTGCATCGCATTGATCCGTACAAACTATTTATAATTCTTGGAGATATTTTTGTGCCTAAGTGCATGCATGTGGTCCCTATGTGTGAATGGATAAAGTGTGTTTGTTTTTCTCCATGCCTTGTAATATGCCTAAACAAAAACTATGTCAATTACTCTCAGCAACTGTTGACGTTAAAACTAGTAGGTATGGATAGAGGAATCACATCTAAAAGCGTAGGAGTGAAAATACAAATATAAGATCAACATCAACAAAACCGTGCACAGATGTCTTTCTTTGTAATACCACTACAAATTATCGTGGGGTTAAAGGTTGCTTGATTGTCGTAAATTTTGTTTCCACGAGGCTTCATTCCATGAATAATGCTTTCTCAGAGTTTTACAAAGCAGCACCCGCCAAACTAAACAAAAGTAGATGAAAATAACACATAAACTACACAAAATGAAATGTATTAAAACTACTTTGGAGGTTTACTTCTCATGTATGACACTGTTTTCTGCCTATTTCTATCCAGGTAAGTGTAAGATCTTCTAGAAACAATGTTTTAACATGTTCAATTTGTGTTTTACTGGTACATGTGTCTCTATTAATCAGGGCCACAGTTGCTGAATCTGGCAACTTTGTTCAGCTTGTCTCTACATCGAAGCACTCATCACAGGCTACTTTAACAACAAATTCTTTTTATCAGCCCTGTAATAACCTCATCTCACCCTTTCTTTTTCTTCCCACTCTAAAGTACCCTAAATGAGGGAAGGCCACTCTGCAACTTGGAGGTATGCAGGAGTCTCACTCAGCTGATGCGCTCTGAAAATGTCTTCTGTTTGAACTGTTTTGTTTCCCTTTATGTTGTTATTCTTCTCACTTGGTGTTTCAAAATTCTGTTGTATTCCTCTTATAGCCCAAAGTCACAATGCTCACATCTTCACATCCACATTTTGTCTGCGGGTGATCACATCAATACCATACTTAAAGCAAACCAAGTGCGTGCTAGAAAAAAAAACAAAACAAAACAATAATAACACTAGCAATAACAAAACCGTTTTTGTATTGCTCTTCGTCCAGAAAGTGCACTTAAATAATGACCCCTAATCTTGGCCACAATAACGGTAGGTAGTGCCGGCTTATCTGACACTTTGTTGTCAAGATTGACACAATTAGAGGATTTACTACACGTGAAATTCTTGACAGTCTGCAGTATGTGGACAAAGTGATGGCTCACCTGCAGCCAGTCCTTAAATGCATCTGTTGACTTATTATACGAACACAACTACAGACGCAACACTTAGGTGCTCATCTGTTTTCGAATGACCTTTAATTGTGGGTCGCCTGAGGCTCACCTGTGCAATAAATGTGTTGCTGTGCATCAGGTAAATGGTGGTCACGCCAGACACTGACTGGTTTTCTGCCTGCCCACCTCCAGTCTCCCTCCCCGCACACAATTGAGTAAAACTGCATATTTTAGAGTGGTCTATTATTTTGGGAAGCCTAAGGCACACCTGTGCAAAAAAAAAAAAACTCTCAGCAAAGAAGAAATGTTCACCGGGACAGATTTAGACAGATTTTTGAACATATGAGCAAAACAGGCCTTTTGTTTACTCAATTTCTTTTAAAAAATGTTTTTAAATAGATGTATGGTCGACTTCAATCCAGGTCCAGATGATTTTATTTTGTGCAACCATGTGACAAAATAAAATTGAGTAAATTCAACGCACCATTTTTGTCAACGTTTGGCTTGCAGAAAATGTGAGCAGAAACAACAGAATTGCGGTTATATTTTTTTCAGTATACTTGCTGACTTTACTGCACATTAAAAAAAAAAATCTTTAAATTGTTACAAATCCATGTTTGGATTATGTTTGTTTTTTTCCAAATCATTCCAAAATAATATTCCTATAATGAAATGTCTGTCACACTGCATTGGTTACAACTGTAAACAGACTCAGATGTTTGACACTTTTCATGTCTGACCTATTCTTTTGTGCAGGGGATGTGAAAATGAGTCCCGTCACCCAGTTTCCTAGCAACCACACTCCTTCTCATGTTTCCCAAGCATGGTGTGTTCAGTGATAGCGTGTACATTCTAGGATCTGTCCAACCCTTTCTTCGGCCTGCTGCCTCCCCATCTTAATCTTAGAATGCATGTCAGCCTGACAAGTCACGTGGCTATCTCTAGTTTTTAAATACTGTATCTTTTTGTCTCATTGACAGGCATCTACAACCAGGAGCACTCGATCCACATGAAGGCCAGAACTCCCCACCTGCATATTGGACCAATCGAGATGGGAGAACCCAAGAGGAAAAGAGAGAACCCTGAATTGACATCACGCTCATACCCGTCATGCTCAGCCCGGATTCTCATACTTGACACCCACTGAATGCTGCCGCGTCAATGAGGAAATAACTCCCACTCCTTATAATCCCCTCCATCTGTACTCTTTAAGCACATGAAAAGCCATTTTAAGCCTTTTTGATAAACTCTTCAGTGTGCACGGTATGACCGCGTGGCTTCAAATACGCTTCATCTCTAAAAATACGTCACAAGAAATGTGATTTGCCAAGAAACGTGTGAGTAGTCCAAAAAGCCCAAAAAAAAGGGGACAATGTGAGTGTGCAATGAAATGTGGAAATCCCCAATAGTCTCTATTGCTTCGTCGAAATGACCGCCCATCATGTGTACAGTATTTTACATTTTTCTCCATTTTGTCTTTTGCATTTTCTGTATTAATGGCAATGGAAATGGCACAGTATACCCAATGTTTAACAAAAAAGAAAACATGCGGTTTGTAGGAATTAAATCTGAATTTTATAAATAGTAATTTTAGGTTTTGTAAATGATGTTGTGAGCAAAGGCAACAGTGATGAATGAGTGTGCAGAATGATTCGGGTGACTCAATCAACCAATTGTCGTGAGGTTTTAAGGATACTCTGGACAAGAACTAATGCACTAGCTGACTGATTTCAATTAGCGGTGCTCAAGATATTTGTGGTTAAACTGCCCCCCTTCTTGCTTATCGTCAAAACTGTTTGGAAATGATGGCAACTTATAGCGGGTTGAAGTGTCTTCAGCCCATGTACATTCTAATGGTTAAAAATTGGCCACTGCAACTGTAATGTATCAACTCTTACTGCAAAACGATCTCCTGTAACCCACTTGACTTGTTAGGTTAACAAATGCAGTAGAGTGAGGCCTTTTGTCAGTGTTCACCTGCTTTCACTTTTTTTTTTGCATGGAATAACCGTCATAGATTTTTAGGTCGTGTACAACTCATTTTCTGTATCAACAATTATTCTCTCAGAACAAAATAGAAGTGGGTCAAAAAGAAGAGGAACAGGACAGTTGTGTACAGTGTTTTCCTTTTGACCACGGTTCTTCTTTAATATGAACTATTCAACTGTAGACTATAAGACTCTCCTTGTAGATGCACTGTATGTCATATTGTTTACTTTTGTCATTTAAAAAGACAAATTGTGGATGTCCCCTACCATCATCACTGTCTGACGTTGTGTAACACGATACAATATATACAAAATATTTACAGTACTGCAATTGTATATTTGTCACAGAAATGAAAGCTGTGCTCGAGTGTATTACTGACAACTCGACCTGCAATACAATACGGAACGTCTTTACAGAGAACCATAGGTACCACAAATACATATACAGTATATGACACTTTCTCTGTAAAGCTTTTGTGGCATTTCTTGCACATCTGGGTATTAAAAGGCCTTTTCCCCACTTCTGGACTGAAGATAACCGCGTCAAATCAGGAGTGCAAACAATTATTAGAAATGCAATTTCAATAATGCTGTCGTCCTCATCATTGCAGTGCTAATCACATCAACTACAGTAAATATTAAATTGATATTGTGCAGTCAAACACTAGCACAGCTTACATGTATAAAGTTGTAATGTTTTACAGGCAAATCCATAAAATAAGTGCATTTGTACAGTGGTGCTTTGACTGTGAGATACAATAGTTGTATGTGTATGTAATGTGATCTTATCGTATGGCAGACAAAATAAAAACATGGAAACTAATTCAATGTTTGGTATGTAATAAGTATAATATCATCACTCTATTTCAAGATTCATTGTGTTGGTACCATGATGCATATGATCAAGACACATTTTTGAGAGTCACTTCTAGCATCACTTCATTATTAGTCCTGACCAAGCAGGTAATCAGTCCAAATGTCATGACCGTCTGCTTCAGTGTTGCCTCCTGCAAGGTCTCCAGGAAGATGATCTTATATGAGAAGGCATATTGACATATTTAAGCAGAAAGGTTCAGTGACGTTGCCAGGTAAGTCAACTATAGTGCTTGTCAAAATCTCCTGTACTCTTCCCCAGTGACCTATACTGTGCAGAACAAAGCAAATAGGGACACATACACTCTCTCAATGTCAAATTATTGTACTTGCTGGAGTCTCCCTGAGCAGGGATGTCACTGGCCATTGTTTCATCTAAAATTGCTGTTGATAGTTATACACAGTTATCATGTAAGAATTGATATGAAACCAGCGTCCACATTCAAGGGAATCGGTGCTTTTGGTTGCAGCATTCACAGCATCCCTCCCCCATCTCCTTCCTTCAGCAATGACCTGCGGAAAGGAGCTGCGTTGCCATGGCTACCGGCTGTCTGCTCCCTGAAGGGCGTTGTGCCTGGTGCTCTGACGCAACCCGTCATCTAATATTCCAGCATACACACAATGCGCACGCACGCGCATCAATTTGGGTGCGAATGGAAGTCAGCAGCAATGATCCAGCCTGTTCGAATTGGTGCAGTGTGGAGGGAGGGAGGGGGCTTCACGTTGCAAAATGCGGCAGCGCTTGGGCATGCGCACCTTGATTTGACCTACATCCAGAGGTGTGACGCAATCGTGGTGAGGGGTGTGCAGATTGGATTTTTAAAAAATATATAAATGTACACATAGAGCATTGATTTATCTATAATAATACAATGTTCAACGCCCGATGTAACAATTATTGTGGATGCCTAGCTTTTGGAGAATACAAACAGATACGTGAATCAACCGTGGCATTTGCAGATATTCACCACGAGAGGTCGGTGTTATCCACTCTGTATCAGGGCGATGATGGGAGGGAGCTCCGTGGATTGCACAAGGAAATAATAATGCATAAAAAAAAAACCCCACAAAACCTCATGATCTGTTCAAACTGACAAAATAACATTATATGATCTGTGAAAAAAAGAAAAAAAAACAGTCATCTTTGCATGACGATGTTGATGTGTACAAGATGGAGTCCACACAGAAAAAGTAATAATTTTGCACTGGGGAGGCTACTTTGAATCCTTTTAAAGTAGGGTCTTGCAAAAAAAAAATAAACAAACAAACAAAAAATAAATAAATACATATTGTTAGATTTGTAAAAACAAGAATGGTCAGACTGGAGGTCCAACGACCAAACGGGGTATTTATTAAGGTCAGGTGTGTCCATCATGAGTGTGCCTGCAAAAGCATGACAATTGATTGGCACCTTCTGTTGCTTATTGGTTGCTTTCCTCTGGTGTGGTGGATTTTTTTTTTTTTAATCAAATTAGATTTACAGGGTGTCTCTGGGACCAGAGACAGCAGTTTTTTTTCTTTGATCTTCTGCACACAAATGTGCAAAAACATTTTTAAAAAACATTTTCACTGACTGTGTTATCGTATCGCACAGCCAGTGGGATTTTTGTACAATATGATGTGTTATCTCTGTGTGGAATTTTACATGACAATTTTTTTTTTGTTTTTATGCTGACTCGAATGGCCTGGTTTTGCTAAAAATTGTCAGTGTGCCTTTCACTTTTGTTTTTTTCAGTCATCTCACAGGTGCTGCCCATTGTTCCTCAAGGTTGGTTAAATACAGACAAACACATTTTGCTGCACCAGTATGTGATAAAATGGAGTTGTAATGTAATTTGCAATGGTAAATAACTTCCACGTGAATACATGTTCTTCAATTTTGTTCCATGGTGTAGCCTATGAGAGGACAATCACCTCTTAGGAGGAGGAAATCCATGCACCCATTCAACCGCTCTATTGCTTGTCCTCATCAAGGCATGCAAAGTCAATTCCTAGCTATTATGACGAACGACTTTGACTTGTTTACTCAAAGTAAGATGCCCATTCTGAAAGCGTTTATCATATGAATTGTGGTCCCAGTACGCGGAAACTTTTCTGGGGTTTTTTGTTATTGCAGATGTCTTTTTAAATTATGTCCTACATTTTCAAAGAAAAATATTCACAAATCAAATGTAAATTAATAGAGGTGCACCTTTAATATCTTTTAACCACAGCAACAGTAATGTTAATTTATTCAAATTTATTGTGGGATGGGTGGCCCGGTGATCCAGTGGTTAGCGCGTTGACCTCACAGTGCAGAGGTCATGGGTTCGATCTCGGCTCCGGCCTTCCTGTGTGGAGTTTGTGTATTCTCGCCGTGCCTGTGTGGGTTTTCTCCGGGTACACCAGTTTCCTCCCACATTCCAAAAACAGGCACGGCAGGCTGATTGAACACCTAATATTGTCCCCAGGCGTGAGTGTGAGCGCGGATGGTTGTTCGTCTCTGTGTGCCCTGCGATTGGCTGGCAACCGGTTCAGGGTGTCCCCCGCCTACTGCCCGAGACAGCTGGGATAGGCTCCAGCACGCCCGTGGCCCTTGTTGAGGATAAGGTGGATCGGAAAATGGATGGATGGATGGATGGATGGATATTGTGTGATCCCAGTGTCACCTTCCACTCTGTTAGTCAGTTCATGAAGCTTAAACATGTCATCTGTCTGATTGAATATTATTGCTCTGAAAAGTCAACATTAGCTTTCCTATTGTGCCTCATACTGTAAAAACGGTCCCAGTTAGATGTCAAAAACATTCATTGTCATCACAGCGTCTAAAAGTAGACCAAAAAATATCAGAATCATGAATACAAGCTTATTGAAAGGAAGGGTATAAGTGAGTGAAAATGAACAATGAACTGTTTACTGCTTTATTTTTTATATACTTAAAACCAGGCCTGACGTATGTGGTGTGTAAAGCAATATAAAATAATTGAGTACATATTTTTGCAGGCTGCAGTATCATGTTATTGACAGTAGGCCGCGCTGTTAGACTATATAATGGCGGTGGTGCGAGGAGAGGTTGTTTTTTTTTCCCCCTCACTTCGAGATTCACCGTCAACCGACAGGCTGACGAGAAACAGCGATCGTTGTTCCACGAAAAATGATTACTCTCCGGAATATTTGTAAATGATCCGTTATGAAATATAGAACCAATGTATATTTAATAGCTGCGGTTAGGAATCGTCACTGATTAATCATGGCAAGATTCTTCATGGGAGGACAGTGGCCGGCGACATGGATTTCTTTGTGTTTGCCGCTGCTGATTGTTGTTCATCCAGAGGGCATCTCTGCCCAAATAAGATATTCAATTCAGGAGGAAGTAAAACCGGGAACAGTGGTTGGAAATGTTGCCAAGGACCTCGGACTGGAAGTCGGCAGGCTGCTGCAGAGAAATCTCCGTGTGGTGTCAGGAACAAAGCAGGAGCAATTCAAGGTAAATCAGAATGATGGTGTTCTATCTGTCCACCAGAGATTAGACCGGGAGGACCTGTGCGGTAACGCCATGCCGTGCATTACTAATCTCAAGGTGGTTGTGGAAAACCCTTTGGAGATGCATCAAGTCCTTGTTGAGGTACTGGACGTGAACGATAACTTGCCAAGATTCCTTGATGACAATTGCACTTTGGAGGTGCTGGAATCTGCTGTAATTGGATCCAAACTCCAAGTGGAGGGCGCCCAAGACTTGGACGTGGGCATGAATTCTGTCCAGATGTACAAGCTGAGCCACAACCCATTTTTTCTCCTAGAAACTGAAGACTTTGGTGAGGAAGGGAGGGTGCCTTTTCTTGTGTTACAGCGGCCTTTGGATCGAGAAAACGCAGCACAGCACCAGTTAATATTAACAGCCGCAGATGGGGGCAAACCACCTAAAACAGGTACTATTAACATCACCATTATTGTATCTGATATAAATGATAACGCACCAGTGTGTGACCGTCAGAAATACTCCATTAGCGTGAAGGAGAATGCACCTGTGGGGATATATCTACTGACAGTGAACGCATCAGACTCAGATGAGGGACAGAACGGTGAGATTGAATATTCTCTAAGGAGCAAATTAAGAGGACTCGCCAGCATGCCATTTGATTTAAATAAAAAAGGTGGGGAACTAACAGTAAAAAGAGATCTCGATTTTGAAGAGAGACAAGTCTATGAGATGAAGGTGCTGGCTGCGGACAAAGGCGCAGTGTCGCTGTCCACACAGTGCAACGTGCTAATCCGTGTGGAGGATGTGAACGACAACCGACCCAAAATTGACATCACCTCATTGTTGAGTCGCATCGCAGAGGACGCCCCTCTCGGTACAGTGGTGGCGCTAGTGGGTGTTAATGATTTGGACTCAGGTGCGAATGGACAGGTGGTCTGCAGCCTGCCGGAACACTTGCCCTTTGCCCTCAAATCGGCACCAGATGGACAGTCATACTCTCTTGTAACCAACGACTATTTAGATAAAGAGAGGGAGCATGCGTATGATATCTTAATAACAGCAAAAGATTTAGGGATGCCCCCTATGTCCTCTACTAAGATTGTACATGTAGATATACTGGATGTTAATGACAATAGGCCTTTATTCAGCGAAAGCCCTTTTACATTTTATGTGCTGGAAAACAACAAAGCAGGAGTGTCTTTGTTTTCTGTGAGGGCAACAGATGCCGATGGGGAAGAAAATGCAGCTGTGACATACTCACTCCAACGGAAAAGTGAAAGTGTGACATCATTTTTGAATATTAATGAGATCACTGGCACAATTACAGCATTAAAAAGCTTTGACTTTGAGACGCTGAAAAGTTTCCAATTCCAAGTGGTGGCCACCGATGGTGGAAGTCCTCCACTGAGCAGCAACGTGACAGTGAAGGTGTTCATTCTGGATCAGAACGACAACGCTCCAGTCATCCTTTATCCAGTCAGCTCCAACGGTTCTGCCGAAGGGGTGGAGGAGATTCCTCGCAACCTGAAAGCAGGAGATTTGGTGACTAAAGTCCGAGCCTATGACGCCGATATCGGATATAACGGCTGGCTGCTGTTTTCGCTGCAGCGAGTCAGCGACCACAGCCTGTTTTCTTTGGATCGCTACACGGGCCAGATCCGAACACTTCGCTCCTTCACGGAGACGGACGAGGCTGAGCATCAATTGCTCATCCTGGTCAAAGACAACGGCAACGTTTCGCTCTCGGCAACAGCGACTGTGACCATCAAACTTGTGGAGCCCAAAGAGGCTTTTGCAGCTTCCGATGTCAAAAGTGCAGCAAAAGAGGACGAAGAGGACAATGTGACTTTTTATCTCATCATCACCTTGGGCTCGGTGTCGCTCCTTTTTGTCATCAGCATCATTGTGCTGATCGCCATGCAGTGCTCCAAATCCACAGAGTACACGTCCAAATATCTGCAAGACGCCAATTATGACGGCACGCTGTGTCACAGCATCCAGTACAGATCAGGAGACAAGCGCTACATGCTAGTCGGACCCAGAATGAGTATCGGTTCGACCGTAGTCCCGGGCAGCCACGCCAACACTCTGGTGCTTCCTGACAGGAGACACACTTCGGGGGAGGTAAGACAGACATTTTGTTACTAATATAAATGCTTACAATCGACATGATGTGCAGCCCCAAAAATCTGATGTGAAGGTGCAATTCCATCCACTTTAAAACTGTTGCGTCTGTTACCAGCAACCTTGTAATTGTGTTAACAGTGATTTTTTTTTTTTTTTTGTCTTTGACTGATGTTGATGTTTTGGTTGAGGGGGAAAATAGAGTGTTTCCATTTCTCTCTATGGTGCTGACTTCTGACAGTTATCTTTGTGACATTTAAGATCCACCAGTACCAGGCTGAACCAGGCTTTCTGCTGCAATGATGTTTGAGTGTTGTTGAATTTCACTTGATGAGAGCAATTTCCCAGCGTTGAGCATTCTACAATAGTCCGTGGAAGCCCTTCCACATCTGTGGAGGTAAATGACACATTTTTAGATGTTTATAAACAGCTCTGGTGTATGTCTATAGGCACACCATAAAAATGAGCACTTTCCAAGCTTTGAGCATTTGACAATAGTCCAGGGCACACTTTCCACATCTCTGTAGGTAGATAGCACATTTATCGATGTTTTTTGACAGCTCTGGTGTTTGCATCGCTGCATTATTTTATGCCGGGTGTTGCTGTGAATCTCTCAATGGCGTTGCATGGTCGTGTGATTGGACTGCTGTGTGTTGTGTTTGCAAGTGGTGACTGTTTGATGATGAAATGAAGACAATGACTCCAGCAAGAATAAAAGGACAGTAAGTGGGCGACAAAAGTGCTACTCAAAATATCAACAATAAAATTGACGACAAAGTTCAACATTAAAAAAAACATCACAGCTATAAAATAACTTGACACATAACCAGATGTAGAGAAAACACGAAGAGAAGAGATTCTAGTCAAAATTGTGATGATGCTGTTGACTTTTTGGGGGCAGTTGATGTTTTGTTAGTAGAGTACTAATAAGCCCTGAGCGTTTGACTCAAAGGACATTGGTTTTTGGATTCAATTGTATGTATTTTTCTCAGGTCTGCAATTATTAAATTGTGATTTGAGAGCGATAAATATTTAATGGGTCCCCATTTCAAAAAAAAAATGGGGTGTTCATAGAGGTTTGTACAGTATTATTGTGAGGCAACCAATATATCTACAGTATCAAAATAAGCACAATCAACGAGCCTCGGTGAGTGACGTCTGATACATAGGAGGGAAAGTAATTACTGTACATTTTGTGGGACAAGAACTACTCCAGGTAACAGCAACTCACGATCACACTGACTCACATTTACAGTAATACTGTAATCATTCTCCATGTTCATTACGAATTAAAACCACTAGGTGGCAGTGTTATACAGAGTGATGAGCATGCGGCGTCCTGCCCCTTCTGGAACCGTTTTGTTCAAGTCATCAGAGGAGACGGGAGCATCAGACGACGGGTGTTACTGTCGTTTCAGTCTTTATTGCCTTTCATTTTGGGACACGTTTAAGAGAAATATTTTGTCATTTGGAGGCTTCATTTTTTTTGGTGGAATTTGGATTTCGATGCTGTAATCCAAGCTGGGAGGATGGGAGCAGCAGGACAAAGCCGACGTCTCTTTCTCTGCATCATATTGGTTTGTTTGGAGCAGGTTGCAGCACAGATCAAATACTCCATCGCAGAGGAAGTCAAAGTGGGAACCGTGGTGGGGAATGTCGCCAGGGATTTGGGATTGGACGCCAGCATGTTGGCAGAGAGACGGTTTCGTATTGTTTCAGGAGCAGAGGAGGCTCAGTTTGAGGTAAATGTGAACAATGGCGTCCTCTTTGTGGGTAAAACCATCAACAGAGAGGAGTTATGTGAGAGCGTCTCTCCATGCTTAGTTAATCTGAAATTAGTTGCTGAAAACCCCATGGAAATACATCATGTTAGTGTAGAAATTTTAGATATTAATGACAATTCACCCACTTTTCAAGAAGAAGAGAAAATTTTTGAAATATATGAGTCTACACATCCAGGAAAACGCTTCCAGTTACCAAGTGCACATGATCCAGATGTTGTCTTTAATACGGTGCGTTCATACAAATTGAACCCAAATGATTATTTTAATATACAAATTCGAGAGCGAGGAGATGATAAGATACCCTTTTTAAGTCTGCAAAAATCTCTGGACAGGGAAAAGCACAGTGAGCATAGATTGGTTCTGACTTCATTTGATGGTGGAAATCCAGTAAGATCTGGAAGTCTTAATGTCAGAGTTATAGTGCTTGACTCGAATGATAAGACTCCCGCATTTATGCAAGAAGTATATTCAGTCAATTTATCAGAAAATGTGAAATTGGGAACAGGTGTTATTAAGGTTGAAGCAACTGACCTGGACGAAGGAATAAACGGAGAAGTTGAGTATTATTTTGGTGGAGAACTTGACTCAGAAATCTACGAAACGTTTAGTTTGGATAAAAACACCGGTGAAATCAGTGTGAAAGGCCAAATAGACTTTGAGAAGGTAGATGTTTACAAATTAGACGTCCACGCCACAGACAAAGGACAACCGCCAATGAGTACCGATTGCCGAGTGATCATTAAAATAGTGGACGAAAATGACAACCAACCCGAAATAGACGTGACATCTCTGTCAAAAACGGTAGCAGAGGATTCAAAACCCGGTACTGTCATTGCTCTTATAAGCATCACCGACAAAGACGTGGGACTGAATGGCAAAGTTATATGTAGACTGTCACAAAATGTCCCATTCGAATTAAAACCTTCCTTTCAAGATAACATGTACTCGCTGGCTCTGAAAGACAGGCTGGATCGAGAATTAGTGGCAGATTATGACATCACAATCACAGCAACAGACTGCGGTCAACCTCCTCTGTCCACCTTTAAAATTCTGCATGTCGACGTGTCAGACATTAATGACAATATTCCAACCTTTACGCAAAGTCCAATTCAACTTTATTTACTGGAAAATAACGTGCCAGGGAAGTCCATATTTTCGGTCACCGCATTTGACAAAGACTTGAATGAAAATGCGGCGCTGACGTATCAAATTAACAGAGAAGGGCGGCAAGGTAAAATGTCAACATTTTTAAACATCAACCCTGAGAATGGTGAAATATCGGCACTAAAAAGTTTTGACTTCGAGACGCTGAAAAGTTTCCAATTCCAAGTGGTGGCCACCGATGGTGGAAGTCCTCCACTGAGCAGCAACGTGACAGTGAAGGTGTTCATTCTGGATCAGAACGACAACGCTCCAGTCATCCTGTATCCAGTCAGCGCCAACGGTTCTGCCGAAGGGGTGGAGGAAATTCCCCGGAATCTGAAAGCAGGAGACTTGGTGACTAAAGTCCGAGCCTATGATGCTGATATCGGATATAACGGCTGGCTGGAGACGGACGAGGCTGAGCATCGACTGCTCATCCTGGTCAAAGACAACGGCAACGTGTCACTCTCGGCAACAGCGACTGTGACTGTCAAACTTGTGGAGCCCAAAGAGGCTTTTGCAGCTTCCGATGTCAAAAGTGCAGCAAAAGTGGACAAGGAGGACAACGTGACTTTTTATCTCATCATCACTTTGGGCTCGGTTTCGCTCCTTTTTGTCATCAGCATCATCGTGCTGATCGCCATGCAGTGCTCCAAATCCACAGAGTACACTTCCAAATACCTGCAAGACGCCAATTATGATGGCACGCTGTGTCACAGCATCCAGTACAGATCAGGAGACAAGCGTTACATGCTCGTCGGACCCAGAATGAGTATCGGTTCGACCATAGTCCCGGGCAGCCACGCCAACACTCTGATGCTCCCTGACAGGAGACACACTTCCGCGGAGGTAAGACAGACAATTTTTACATTGATTACAACAGACCTACTATGCTCCCCTATAACTTCAGTGTGTATTATAGGTGCAATTCGATCAACATTACTTTAAAACTGCTTTTTCTCCTAATAGCAACATTGCTGTCATGTTAACACTGACCGAAACAATTTTAAACATTTTCTTCAAATGACAGCAATGTTTTAGACTTTGTCATCAAGAAAAACGGTGCTTCCAGTTCTGTTGGTAGTGCTGAATTCTGTATGTTGTCTGATTATTTCTTCATCAAGTTTTTTGCTGCTATGTTTGCTTGTTGTCAAACTTCACCTTGATTGGAAATTCCAAACGTTGAGCTTTGTAAAATTGTTCATGGCAACTATGTCATGTCTTGAGGTAAACAGGATTATTTTTCGTTCAGGTACAGGTTATGCATCACTGCATTGTTATATTTTGTAGCTCTGATTGTGTCAATGTGGTTGTGTGGCGGTGCGATTGCACTACTCTGTGTTATCTTTAAAATGCATATTGTTGGATACAAACAAAGTCGATAACTATGAACAAAATGGCAGTAACCAGAGGACAAAAGTACAAATCAAGATACCCGCAATAAAATTGACAAGAACAAACAAATGCGACATGAAAAGCCATCACACCTGGAAAATAGCTAGATACAAAACCCAATGTGGGGAAATCACTATTGGCCAAACCCCGAGGATCGGGGCAAGGCTCACTAAGCAACAGAAATCAGAGATAGCAAGAACACAGAGCACTGTAACATTGAAATAATTGGGAAATTTCCAGTTTTTCAACTGCTTTCCATCATCATCTTTTACTTCCTTTGGATACAACAGTTGCTGCACTTGTGAACTTTCTTCATGATCAATAAGGCACCCACACAATACCAACCACCCGACTTTCTTGACATATAGCCTCTGACTATAAAAAGGTCACAGCTGTTCATGGTTCTGAAACATTGTGATGACGATGCAGACTTGGTGGAAATTTTAAGCGAGGGTCCAAATGCTGGTTCGTCGGCATTAGATGCAGAACATTGAAACATTGCTTTTATTACTCACTGGACTACGATGTTTGGATTCAATTGTACTTTGTATCTAATGCTCTGAGCGGCATATCTAATGATTTAAATTCCGATTGGAGAGAGATACATGTTTAATTTGTGTCTTTTTGAATTAAAAATAGGCTATTTGGGGAGGGGGGGGGTTATACAGTATTTATTGCATGGCAAATAGTGTATCTTTCAAATTAACCGAGAAAAAAAATCCTCAGTGAGTGATGTCATGCACATAAAAGGAGAAATACATCTATCTATCTATCTATCTATCTATCTATCTATCTATCTATCTATCTATCTATCTATCTATCCAGCTCACTGATGTTAAAACAGTGGTACTTAACCTGGGTTCGATCGAACCCCAAGGGTTCGGTGAAACAATCTCTGGGGTTCGACGGAGCCTCTGCCATGGAGGTTAAGACACGCACGACTCAACGTATCAATTAGCTAGGACACGCCCGCTTGGCCATCACTGGCTGCAGATGATGACATTGTTGTCCAATCAGTGCTGTGGGAAATTTAGTTCACTCAGTAGTCAGCGTGTGATTGTCGTTTTAGTTCGTGGTGTGATTTTTTTTTTTGTTTGTTTTGTTTTTAATGTTTTAAACACATGCTATGTCGAACAAAAAAGAAGGTGGTCGGACGAATACTGTATGGACAACATGGATTCACATGCATCACGGAACGTCATTGGATTCGGCATCCTACCTGCATGATTTGTCATGCCAAGTTGAGCAACTCTCGTCTCGCACCGGCAAAACTGAAAGAACACTCTCGAATCATATTTTTATTTTTCACTAAGGGTTCGGTGGATCTGCATATGAACTGGTTGGGTACAGTACCTCTAACAAGGTTAAGAACCACTGTGTTAATCTATTCCATGCTCATAATGAGTTATGACCAGTAGGTGGCAGTGTCATACCAATATATAGTGATGAGCATTCGGCAGTCCTGCCCATTTTGGAATCGTTTTGTTCAAGTCATCAGAGGAGACAGGACTTTCAACTGAGACGGATATTGCTTTGCTGTCGTTACTAAGATTTCCTTATACTTCATCCAATAAGGAAATGTAATTTGCCATTTTGGAGGCTTCATTTTTTTGGTGGAATTTGGATTTCAACGCTGTAATCCAAGTTGGGAGGATGGGAGCAGCAGGACAAAGGCGAGGTCTCTTTCGCTGCATCATATTGGTTTGTTTGGAGCAGGTTGCAGCACAGATCAAATACTCCATCGCAGAGGAAGTCAAAGTGGGAACCGTGGTGGGGAATGTCGCCAGGGATTTGGGATTGGACGTCAGCACGTTGGCGGAGAGACGGTTTCGTATTGTTTCAGGAGCAGAGGAGGCTCAGTTTGAGGTAAATGTGAACAATGGCGTCCTCTTTGTGCGTAAAACCGTCAACAGAGAGGAGTTATGTGAGAGCGTCTCTCCATGCTTAGTTAATCTGAAATTTGTTGCTGAAAACCCCATGGAAATACATCATGTTAGTGTAGAAATCTTAGATATAAATGACAATTCACCCACTTTTCAAGAGGAAGAATTCATCTTTGAAATTCCTGAGTCCACTCTTCCGGGTAGACGCTTTCAGTTACCCATTGCACACGACCCAGATGTTGTCACTAATGCAGTGCGTGTGTATAAATTAAATACAAATGAATATTTCAGTACAGAAATTAGGGAGAGAGCTGACGACAAGGTGCCATTCTTAGTTTTACAAAAGTCTTTGGACCGAGAAAAATACACCGAGCATAGGCTCATTCTTAGTGCCGTTGACGGTGGGAATCCACCCAAATCTGGAAGTCTTAACATCACACTGAAAGTGCTTGATTCAAATGATAACCACCCGACATTCACGCAAGACGTCTATTCTGTAACTTTATCCGAAAATGTAAACCCTGACAAAAGCATCATCCAGGTGGAAGCAACTGATCTAGACGACGGACTAAACGGAGAAATTGAATATTACTTTGGAGGACAACTTGATTCCAAAATCTATGAAATGTTCAGTTTGGATAAAAACACTGGTGAAATAAGTGTGAAGGGCCAAATTGATTTTGAGAAGGCAGATGTTTATAAATTAGACATCCGCGCCACAGACAAAGGACAACCGCCGATGAGTACCGATTGCCGAGTGATCATTAAAATAGTGGACGAAAATGACAACCAACCCGAAATAGACGTGACATCTCTGTCAAAAACGGTAGCAGAGGATTCAAAACCCGGTACTGTCATTGCTCTTATAAGCATCACCGACAAAGACGTGGGACTGAACGGGAAAGTCATATGTAGACTGTCAAAAAATGTCCCATTCGAATTAAAACCTTCCTTTCAAGATAACATGTACTCGCTGGTTCTGAAAGACAGGCTGGATCGAGAATTAGTGGCAGATTATGACATCACAATCACAGCGACAGACTGTGGTCAACCTCCTTTGTCCACTTTTAAAATTCTGCATGTCGACGTGTCAGACGTTAATGACAATATTCCAACCTTTACGCAAAGTCCAATTGAACTTTATTTACTGGAAAATAACGTGCCAGGGAAGTCCATATTTTCGGTCACCGCATTCGACAAAGACTTGAATGAAAATGCGGCACTGACGTATCAAATTAACAGAGAAGGGCGGCAAGGTAAAATGTCAACATTTTTAAACATCAACCCTGAGAATGGTGAAATATCAGCACTAAAATGTTTTGACTTTGAGACGCTGAAAAGTTTCCAATTCCAAGTGGTGGCCACCGATGGTGGAAGTCCTCCACTGAGCAGCAACGTGACAGTGAAGGTGTTCATTCTGGATCAGAACGACAACGCTCCAGTCATCCTGTATCCAGTCAGCTCCAACGGTTCTGCCGAAGGGGTGGAGGAAATTCCCCGGAATCTGAAAGCAGGAGACTTGGTGACTAAAGTCCGAGCCTATGATGCTGATATCGGATATAACGGCTGGCTGCTGTTTTCACTGCAGCAAGTCAGCGACCACAGCCTGTTTTCGTTGGATCGCTACACGGGTCAGATCCGAACACTTCGCTCCTTCACGGAGACGGACGAGGCTGAGCATCGATTGCTCATCCTGGTCAAAGACAACGGCAACGTTTCGCTCTCTGCAACAGCGACTGTGACTGTCAAGCTTGTCGAGCCCAAAGAAGCTTTTGCGGCTTCCGATGTCAAAAGTGCAGCAAAAGAGGACGAAGAGGACAATGTGACTTTTTATCTCATCATCACCTTGGGCTCGGTGTCGCTCCTTTTTGTCATCAGCATCATCGTGCTGATCGCCATGCAGTGCTCCAAATCCACAGAGTACACTTCCAAATATCTGCAAGACGCCAATTATGACGGCACGCTGTGTCACAGCATCCAGTACAGATCAGGAGAGAAGCGCTACATGCTCGTCGGACCCAGAATGAGTATCGGTTCGACCGTAGTCCCGGGCAGCCACGCCAACACTCTGGTGCTCCCTGACAGGAGACACACTTCGGGGGAGGTAAGACAGACATGTTTTTTTACTTTGATAAATGCTTACAATAGACATGAAGTGCAGCCCCAAGACTTTGGTGTGAAGGTGCAATTTGATCCACATTAAAACTGTTGTGTCTTACAAAAGCAACAATTTTGTGGTGTTTACACTGACTGAATGATTTTTTTTTTTCTTGGATTGCCAAAATTTGGGTGCGAAACCGTGGTCAACTGGTTAGCACATCCACCTCACATTATAGAGGTCAAAGGTTCGAATCTGGCCCTGGCCTTCCTTTGTGGAGTTTGCATGTTCTCCTCATGTCTGTGTGGGTTTTCTCTGGGTACTCCGGTTTCCTCCCACATTCCAAAAGCAGGCATGACAGGTTGATTGGGCGATCCAAATTGTCCCTAGGTGTGAGTGTGAGCGCGGATGGTTGTTCGTCTCTGTGTGCCCTGCGATTGGCTGGTAGCCAGTTCAGGGTGTACCCCGCCTACTGTGCGAAGACAGCTCGGAAAGGCTGCAGCACGTTCGCGACCCTGGTGAGGATAAGCAGTTTGGCTCATGGAAAGGATGGATGGATGGATAACGACAATTTTTTTGAAGACCTTGTAGCTGAGGGGGAAAAAAAATCCATATCTCTCCGTGGGTCGGAATTCTGACGGTTATCTTTTTGACATTTACATCTGAACTCGGCTTCTGTTGCAATGATGTTTGAGTGTTGTTAATTAAAGTTCACTTGATGGGAGCAATTTCCAAGCTTTGAGCATTTGACAATAGTCCAGGGAACACATTCCACAGCTCTGGAGGTAAATGACACATTTTAGATTTTTTTTAACAGCTCTGGTGTTTGCATAGCTGCAATGTTTTATGTTGTCGCTGTGAATCTCTCAATGTCGTCGCAGAGTCGTGTGATTGGACTGCTGTGTGTTGTGTTTGGAAGTGGTGGCCGTTGGATCCAAATGAAGACAATCACTACAGTTGTAACTAAATGACATTAACCAGACTACAAAAGTACCACTCAAGATACCAACAATAACATTGACAACATCAAACAAGTTCAACATTAAAAAACATCACAGCCGTACAATAACATGACACATAACCAGATGTGGCGAATACACTAAACTGAATCCCACAGACGAACAGGAAATACTGACCACCTGAAAGCAGATATGGCAAGAACACAAGATACACTAACAAGGAAAAAAATGGGACATTTGCAAAGTTTGAACTGTTTACCATAATCATCTTTTACTTCGTTTGTGTGCAAGAGTGGCTTGGCATGTGTGGTCCCGTCATCATCAATTCCCAACCTACTTTCTTCAAATATCACTCTGACTGAAGAAATTTCAACACTGTCCATCATCCTGAAAAAGTCGAGACAACATTGTCATGTGTTGATATTTACTTGGTGGAAATTAAAAGTTTTGGTCCACTCGATGTTTTGTCAGTGGAGTACATTCACACATTGATCATTTTACTCACTGGACCAGGAGATGGCAACCCTCAACTCCAAAGCCCCATATGGGCTCTTTGATCCTTCTGCCACGACTCTCTCTGACTTTGGCAAATAAATAATGAATGTTTTATTGATTAAAAAAAAAATATATATATATATATTATTATTTCACTTTCTTTGGGTGTCAAATGCAATTTGTAATTTGACACTCTTGGAGTTCTTCTAACGTTAAAACAAAACATTTGTATCTCTCTCTCTCTCTCTCTCTCTCT